GCTTACTACGAATAAAAAAGAATCATCAGAATAGAGATAGGGCGGGCGGGCGGAGCTTATATTTGGCCTTTTTTTCCTTAATATACATAGCCATCTTTTCATTTCAAACTTATGACATGGTTAAAATGTTTTTTGCAAGGAAATACGGATTTTGCACTTATGGGGCGGAGCCTAATTGCAAAATCGATGTTTCCTTATACAAATCCAAAAATCGAAAAGTCAAATTCTAAATATCGAGAAATTGTGAGAAGTCTAAATTGAGAAATCTACAAATCGAAATACTAAAAAATCGAAAAATCCGAAAATCGAAATTTAGAAAAATCCAAAACTCGAAAAACCGAAAAAATGGAAAGTTAAAAAATAAAAAATTCCATCAATCGAAAAATAGAAAAATAGAGAAGAAATCCAAAAATCGAAAATATTAAAGTCGGAACTCGAAATTCGAAAAAACCAAAAAACGAAACATGAAAAGGTCGAAAAATCCAAGTCTAAAAATCGGGAAATCAGAATATCGAGAAATCGTAATGTCGAAAAATCGAGAAATTCAAAAACGGAAGTCGATTTCAGATCGATTTATAAACTTGTCGCTGACGTTGCCGTCGGAAAGCTCAAAAATCGCAAAGTCCAAAAATTCAAAAAACAATTCATCGAAAAATCGAGAAACTGAAAAATGGAAGTCGAAAAATCTGAAATTAAAAAGTCAAAAAATCAAAAAATGGGGAAAGCGAAATTTTGAAAAATCCAAAAATTAACAAACCACAAATCGGAAAACTCGAAATAATTGAAAAATCGAAAAGTGGAAAAATTGATCAATCCAAAAATCGAAAAATCCAAAAGTGAAAAACAGGTAAATCGAAAAATAGAGAATTCCAAATTTTAAAAAATCCAAAAATCGATAAACCAAAAAAACCAAAACTTGAAAACCGAAATTTTAAAAAGTTCAAAAATTAACAAATCACCAATCGGAAAGTCGAAAAATCCAAAAATCGAAAACTCAAAAGAATTGAGAAATTTAAAAATCGAAAAATCGTAGAATCGAAGTCGTAAAAAGAGAAATCCAAAACTGAATAATCAAAAAACCAAAACTCGACAAATCGAAAAGTCGAAGTCGGAAAATCGAAAAATCTGAAAGTCGAAGCATCGAGAAATTGAAAAATCTAAATTGAAAAAACTAGCAAATGAAATTTCGAACAATCAAAAACTCGAAAACTCGAAAAAATGTAAGTCGAAAATTCGAGAAATCGGATAAGTTAAAAAATCGAAAATTTGAAAAGTCTATTCAAAAATCGAAAAATCGTCGAATCGAAGTCCTAAAAAGAAAAATCGAAATATGGATAATCGAAAAATCCAAAAATCGATAAATCAAAAACCAAAACTCGAAAATTCGAAATTCTAAAAAGTCAAAAAATTGACAAATCACAAATCGGAGAGTCGAAAATTCCAAAAATCGAAAACTCAAAAGAGTCGAGAAATTTAAAAATCGAAAAGTCGAAGAATTGAAGTCGTAAAAGAGAAATCCAAAACTGAATAATCGAAAATCCAAAACTCCACAAATCGAAAAGTCGAAGTCGGAAAATGGAAAAATCTGAAAATCGAAAATTCGAGAAATCGATAAGTCAAAAACCGAATATTTGAAAAATCTAAAAGTCGATAAATCAAAAAATCCAAAACTCGACAATTCGAAATTTCGAAAAATCGAGATTTTGAAATATCGTAAAATTCAAAAATCATAAATCGAAAAGTCGAATAATTGAACTATCCAAAAATCGAAAACTCCTATAATCAAACTCGTAAAAAGAGGAAATCCAAAAATCAAAAAGTCTGAATTGAAAAATCTACAACTCGAAATACTGAAAAATCGAAAAATCCGAAAATCGAAATTTAGAAAAATCCAAAACTCGAAAAAATGAAGTCGGAACTCGGAATTCGAAAAAACCAAAAAACGAAACATGAAAAGGTCGAAAAATCGAAGTCTAAAAATCGAGAAATCAGAATATCGAGAAATCGTAAAAAGTCGAAAAATTCAAAAATCAAAGTCGAAAAATTGAACAATAGAAAAATCGAAAAATCCTAGAATCAAAGTCGTAAAAAAGAGAAATCCAAAAATCGAAAAGTCAAAGTCGAAATATGGAGAAATCTGAAATTCTGAAAACATCCAGAAATTAAAAAATTAATTAAGTCTAAAAATACAAAACCCGAAAAATCGAAAAAACGGAAAGTCAAAAAATCAAAAAATCTAAGATCAAAAAGTCGAAAAATCCCATCCATCGAAAAATCGAAAATTGGAAAAGAAATGTAAAAATAGAAGAATAGGAGTAGACAAATCGAAAAAACCGAAAGTCGAAACTCAAAAATTCTAAAAAACCAAAAATCAAAAACTAAAAAGTCAAAAATCGGTAAATTGAAAATCTGAGAAATCGAAGTCAAAAAATAAAAAAATCGATAATTTGAAAAATCAAAAATCGATAAAGCAGAAAATCCAAAATTCGCAAAGACAGGAATTGATAAAATCGATAAATTAAACAAGCTAAAAATGAAAAATCGAAAAAATGAAAAGTCGGAACTCGAAATTCGAGAAAACCAAAAAGCGAAACATGGAAAGGTCGAAAAATCAAAGTCTAAAAATCGAGAAATCGGAATGGCGAAAAATCAAGATATTCAAAAACGGAAGTCGAAAAATCGGGAAATCGAAAAGTCAAAAAATCAAAAAAAGGAGAAATCGAGATTTTCAAAAATCTACGAATCTACAAATCAAAAAATCCAGAACTCGAAAATTCAAAATGTTCAAGACGTAAAATCCAAAAATTGGAAAAACGAGATTTCCATATTATATCGAAAATTTCAAAAAATCATAAACCGGAAAGTCGAAAAATTCAAAAATCAAAGTCGAAAAATTGAGTAATAGAAAAATCGAAAAATCCTAGAATCAAAGTCGTAAAAAAGAGAAATCCAAAAATCGAAAAGTCAAAGTCGATATATCGAGAAATCTGAAATTCTGAAAACATCCAGAAATTAAAAAGTCTAATTAAGTCTAAAAATACAAAACTCGAAAAATCGAAAAAATGGAAAGTCAAAAAGTAAAAAAATCCAAAATCAAAAAGTCGAAAAATCCGATCAATCGAAAATTGAAAAATAAATGTAAAAATAGAAAAATCGCAGTAGCAAATCGAAAAAACCAAAAATCGAAAAATGAAAAAGTCAAAAATCGATAAAGCAAAAAATCCAAAATTCGAAAAAGGAGAAAAATCGAAAATTTGAAGAATCGATCGAAAAATCAAACACAGAAAAATCGAACATTCGACAAATCGAAAAGTCGAAAAATTAAAAAATCAGAAGGGAAAAATCCAAAAATTGAGAATTCGAAAAATCTAGGAGTCGAGAACACGAAAAGTCGGATGATCAAAAAATCGAGAAGTCAGAATAATACAAAAATGGAAGAATCAAGCATTTGAAGAATACAAAAATCCAAAAGTCGAAAAGTCAAAAAAATCGAAAAATCGATAAGCCGAAAAATCCCTCGAACAATTCAAAAATCGAAAATAGGAAAAATCGAAAACGGAAAAACAATAACATAAAATCCAAAAATTGAAAAACTCAAAAATCCAATTCAAAAAGTTGAAATATCAAAAATTTAAGAATCGAAAATTTGCACAATTGCTCGATATTTCCAGAAATCCAAAAATTGAAAAACCAAGAAGTCGAACATTTGGCAGTTCGAAAAGTCAAAAAATCGAAAAAACGAAAAGTCGAAAATTGGGAAATCGAGAAAACAAACATTCGAAAAATCCAAAAATCCAAAAAAAGTAAAATCAGAAAAATTAAAAAATCGATAAGTCAAACAATCGACAAATCGAAAAAACGAAGTAGAAAAATCCAAAAATCGAAAATTCCAAAAATCAAAAAATAGAAAACAGGAAAAATCGAAAAAACGAAAACAGAAAAAACAAAAACTTACAATCAAAAATCCAAATCAAAAAATTTAAAAATCCAAAATTTGAAGAAACGACAAATTGAAAAATCGAAAAATCAAAAAACTCAAAATCGATAAACCGAAAAATCGAATTTTCGAAAAATCTGAAGATCCAAAAATTGATAAGTAGAAAATTCAAGAAATCGATAAGGCAAAAAACCAAAACATCGAAAAATCGAAAATCTGAAAAATCTAAAAACCGATAAATCAAAAAATCCAGAACTCGAAAATTCGAAAAATTAAAAAATCGAAAAGTCGAAAATTTAAACATTCCAAAAATCTAAAATTCGTAGATTTAAAGTCGTAAAAAAGAAAAGTAAAACATGTTGTCACAATTGAGATAGGGTGGGTGGGCGGGGCTACATTTTGCCTTTTTTTTTCTTGATATGTCTGGACAACACCAAGTTTATAAATCCCACTTTAACTAAATACATTTTCTTGTATATTCCTCTCACTCACGGCATCGTTTCTTTGATAACTCCAACCGTTTTTCCAGAATCGGAGTTTTCGAAATTTTAAATAAAACACAAAATTCAAATTTTCCTCCTAATCAGCTGCCTACAAAACATGAAATGAATTCGTATAATTGACCATTACTATATCTTACGCCCGAGAAGAGGCATAGAAAAAAAGAGTGCGTCGACCCAGGGACACATGGAGGGAGTTTTAACTGTGCGTTGCCAATTTATATAAATTAAACACGTATGGCGACGAAGTCATTAATTTTAAAAAATACTTTTATTTATTTATCATATAGAAATATCATAATTAATTATTATATAATTATTATAATAATAAGGGTCGTTGTGGTTGAATTATGGCAGTGGGTGTAGGTTGTGGGGCTCCTAAGAGACGGAATCAGCACCACTCTCTAAGTGTTTCATGTAAATATTGTTCATGACTCAGTTCAGACTGGTTTCGCTGACCTCGACACCGACACCGAGCTCGAACTCGACACGCGCGCGCGCGTCGTATACATGTTCCATAATACGAAAAGAAAGGAGTTAAAACTCCAATATCAACCAAAAAAAAAGTTCAAAATATTTATTTACATTTAATAATGTACATATCTGTATTAAATCTGCGGAGGAGCCAACGACTGATACAACTTTGTAACTGCAGTTTCAACAATTTGTTTAAACGTTTCGTCTTCAGGACAAGTAACCTCCTGTAACAAAGTCAACATTTTTTTTCATCGAGACTTATTAAAACTTACCAAGTTTGATAAATCTATATCCGCTTTTTTATCATTCACGGTAACGTACAACCTTTCGCCTTTGAACATTTTTGGAACGGAATCTTCACCAAACATGTCCTGAAGCATTTCAATCAGGCACTCCTGGAACGACACATTAAAAAAAAATCAGTAAGCACCGTCCTACACACTTTAAAATGCATCCGATCGACTTTTACGCTTGTCGATAGATTTTTTATAGGTGTATCCAGGAGGTCGGCTTGAAGTATCGCTGCGACGATTGCGTCAGCGTACATGTCATTTACGGGATTCGCGATCCACTAAAAATTCATTTAAGATAAAATGCATAACAAATGAGTAGACGTCACCTCGAGAGTAATGATTTTATTTTCTATGGTAATATCGATCGCGTTAAATGCTCTAACTTTCTTGTCACCTTCGATAGGCTCCAGCAAGCCAGCAACCTGTGTGATCAAGTGGCGCAGCACTCCCGTGTTTCCGGAGTAGTGGATACTTTGTCTTTGCATGATTTGGCTCATACTCATGTCGGTGTATTCTTAAAAAAAAAAAACAAAAAAAAGATTGCACTTTTTATTTTTATTAAACTCACTTGGTAAATCGTTAGCCGCCAGCAAATGATAGTTGAAGTTTCTTTTTACTAAAACCCCTGATAACGTGTTCCCTGCGTTTGGTTCTTCCACCGCTAAACTCCCCATAACTTTGGCGGTTTTTTCACCACGAAAATACAGTTCAACACAGTGTGTATTTCGCGGATTGTGAAAATAAATTGTTGTGTTTGGATCGTCTTCGTATTCTCTCTGAAGCGCTGCCTTCAAACGACTCATTTCGTTTTGTTCGCCATGCACTAAAACCTTGTCTCTCATTACGAAAAGTACGACACAGGTTGGACACTTACGACATGAGGCGGTTTCAGGATGCGTATCAATTCGCTAGTTTGTTGATAATCCGTGTGAGCCGAGAAGGAAATGTAATCCACTGACATTTTAAGCGGCAGTTTTTGGCCGATCATCGTTGTAATTTCTTCCGGTTCGGACAGAATCGTCTTCGCCGGAGTGCCTTCCACGCAATACCCTGCTATGATGACGCCGTTTTTCGTATCCGTACACCACAATTCGAACAATTCCCTGGAAAGGCCGCTTTGCAACATACCGGGAGATGCCATTATTACACAAGGACCGATGTCTTCGAAATGATCGATACCCTAGAGATTCCATGGGTTTTATTTATATAATAAAATTTCGAAAAAATAAAATACCTTCAAGTTTGATATATGTTTAAAGACAAACGGATTATTGATGGCGATCTGTCGTCGAATTTTATCATTCATAGCGTTGATGTACGTCTGATATACAGCCATGCACTTTTTTGCCAAAGACGACGCGTAATAAATCGGAATATCGTGTAAATCAGGATGTTGACTCCAATATTCATCCAGAATCAAAAGTAACTCCTGGGCTCGTCCCAACGCAAAAACGGGGATCAGACACCGACCACCTCGGTTTACAATATCGTGAACTAAATTGGTAAATCGACTTTCTCGTTCTTCCCGCTTTTCATGGATATGAGTGCCGTAGGTGGATTCCTATTGGAATATTTTTAACAAAAAATCACATTTATTAATATTAAAAATCGTCATTACAGTGATTAAAACATCTGGATGGACCGTAGGGATTTCAGCGGCCATTAAATGGCGATCTTCCTGACGAGAAAAGTCGCCTGTGTACAAAATCTAACAAATAAAGAAATTTCACTCCATGTAACATTTACATAAATATTACACATACTTTAACACCGGCTATTTCGATCATGAACATCGCTGCTCCTAAAACATGTCCCGCATTGTAAGCCCAAAATTTCACACCCAATACATCTTTTTCTTCGTGGAAATTTATGGTTTCGATTTTGTCCATACTAGCTTCCAAGTCTGCTTCAGTGTAAAGCATTTGTTCGGTTGCAATGTTGCTACATTTTTTTATTCAACGTCGAATTCATTCTAAGACGCTTACGACACTTACCTGACTTTTATGTAATCCGACAGTAACCAACGATAAATGGCTTTAGTTGCGTGAGTCATGAAGCACCTTCCTTTAAAGCTGGTTTTTTGTAAAAACCAGGGTAGAGCACCACAGTGGTCAAGATGAAAACTTGAAATAAATGTTACTAGAATAACGTGCCTACATTTTTTTTTTATTTAGGTGGCTAAAGTAAAATACTTGGGCGAATTTAAATTTCAGGTCGATTTATAAACTTGTCGCTGACGCAAAGTCGAAAAATTTTAAATTAAAAAGTTAAAAAATCAAAAAATTAACAAATCGAAAGTTTGAAAAATCCAAAAATTAACAAACCACAAATCGGAAAGTCGAAAAATCCAAAAATCGAAAACTCAAAAGAATTGAGAAATTTAAAAATCGAAAAGTCGAAGAATTGATTAAAACAAAAACCGAAAAACGTAGAATCGAAGTCGTAAAAAAGAGAAATCCAAAAATGAATAATCGAAAAATCGACAAATCGAAAAATCCAGGCAGAAAATCGAAAAATCTGAAAGTCGAAACATCGAGAAATTGAAAAGTCTAAATTGAGAAAACTAGAAATTGAAATTTCAAACAATCTAAAACTCAAAAACTCGAAAAGACGTAAGTCGAAAAGTCGGGATATCGAGAAGTCAAAAAATTGAAAATTTGAAAAATCTAAAAATTAACTAATCACAAATAGGAAAGTCGAAAAATCGAAAACTCGAAAGAATTGGGAAATCTAATAATTGAAAAATCGAAAAGTCGAAGAATTGATTAATACAAAAATCGAAAAATCGTAGAATCGAAGTCGTAAAAAAAGAGAAATCCAAAATTGAATAATCGAAAAACCAAAAGTCGACAAATCGAAAAGTCGAAGTCGGAAAAACGAAAAATTCGAAAGTCGAAAAGTCGAGAAATTGAAAAATCTAAATTGAGAAAACTAGAAATTGAAATTTCAAACAACGTAAAACTCAAAAACTCGAAAAAATGTAAGTCGAAAATTCGAGAAATCGATAAGTCAAAAAAACGAATATTTGAAAAATCTAAAAATCGATAAATCAAAAAATCCAAAAGTCGACAATTTGAAATTTCGAAAAGTCGAAAAATTGAACTATCCAAAAATCAAAAAGTCTTACCATAAAACTGGTAAAAAGAGGAAATCCAAAAATCAAAAATTCTAAATTGAGAAATCTAGAAATCGAAAAACTGAAAAATCGAAAAATCTGAAAATCGAAATTTAGAAAAATCCAAAACTCGAAAAAATGAAAAGTCGGAACTCGAAATTCGAAAAAACCAAAAAACGAAACATGAAAAGGTCGAAAAATCAAAGCCTAAAAATCGGGAAATTGGAAAATCGAGAAATCGTAATGTCGAAAAATCGAGAAATTCAAAAACGGAAGTCGAAAAATTGGGAAATCAAAAAATCAAAAAAAGGAGAAATCGAAATTTTCAAAAATCTACGAATCTACAAATCAAAAAATCCAGAACTTTTAAATTGGAAAAACAAGACTTCCATATATGTCGAAAAATTCAAAAAATCACAAATCGAAAAGTCGAAAAATCCACAAACAGGTGAATCGAAAAATTCAAAAATCAAAGTCGACATATCGAGAAATCTGAAATTCTGAAAACATCCAGAATTTAAAAAGTCTAAATAAATCTAAAAATGCAAAACTCGAAACATCGAAAAAATGGAAAATCAAAAAATCAAAAATCCAAAATCAAAAAGTCGAAAAATCCCATCCATAAAAGAAATGTAAAAATAGAAAAATCGCAGTAGACAAATCGAGAAAACCAAAAGTCGAAACCCAAAAATTCGAAAAAACCAAAAATCGAAAAATGAAAAAGTCAAAAATCGATAAAGCAGAAAATCCAAAATTCGAAAAACAGGGGAAAAATCGAAAATTTGAAGAATCGATCGAAAATCGAAAACAGAAAAATCGAACATTCGACAAATCGAAAAGTTGAAAAATTAAAAAATCAAAAATTCAGAAAATCGAAGGCGCCAAATCCAAAAATTGAGAAATTGAAAAATCTAGAAATCGAGAACACGAAAAGTCGGATGATCAGAAAAATTGAGAAGTCAGAATAATACAAAAAATGAAGAATCAAGCATTTGAAGAATACAAAAATCCAAAAATCGGAAAAGTCAAAAAAATCGAAAAATCCAAGTCGAAAAATCGATAAGCCGAAAAATCTCTCGAACAATTCAAAAATCGAAAAAACGAAAACGGAAAAATAAAAACATAAAATCCAAAAATCGAAAAACTCAAAAATCCAATTCAAAAAGTCGAAATATCAAAAAAATTAAAAATCGAAAATTTACATAATTGCTCGATATTTCCAGATATCCAAAAATTGAAAAACCAAGAAGTCAAACATTTGACAATTCGAAAAGTCGAAAAATGGAAAAAACGAAAAGTCGAAAATGGGGAAATCGGGAAAACAAACATTCGAAAAATCCAAAAATCCAAAAGATGTACAATCAGAAAAATTAAAAAATCGATAAGTCAAACAATCGACAAATCGAAAAAACCAATTAGAAACATCCAAAAATCGAAAAGTCCAAAAATCAAAAAATCGAAAACAGGAAAAATCGAAAAAACAAAACCGTACAATCCAAAGATCGCAAAACCCAAAAATCCAAATCAAAAAATGTAAAAATCGAAAATTTGAAGAAACTAAAAAATGAAATATCGAAAAATCAAAAAACCCAAAATCGATAAACCGAAAAAACAAAAATCAAAAAGTCGAAAAACCGGGAAATCGAATTTTCGGAAAATCAGAAGATCCAAAAATTGAGAAGTCGAAAAAATTATACGTCGAAAATTCGAGAAATTGATAAGGCATAAAACCGAAAATATCGAAAAATCGAAAATTTGTAAAATCTAAAAATCGATAAATCAAAAAATCCAGAACTCGAAAATTCGAAATTTCCAGTCGAAAAATTAAAAAATCGAAAAGTCGAAAATTTAAACATTCCAAAAATCTAGAAATCGTAGAATCAAAGTCGTAAAAAATAAAAGTAAAACATGTTTAAAATGGTAAGTAAATTTGTATAGAAAAATATCGATTTTGCAATTACGCTCCGCCCCTCGGTCTGACAACGAATGAAAAATTCATCACGATTGAGATCGAGACGGATGAATGGGACCTTAATTAATACATTTAGTTTTCTTTGTATAACCCGATTACTTAAGAACATATTTCACATGGTAATTTCTCCTAGAAAAATAAGGATTGTACTCTCGGCTTACGACGAATACACAAAATCATCAGAATTGAGAGAGGGCGGGTGGGCGGGGCATATATTTTGACGTATTTTTCTGAAAATATATAGCCATCTTTTCACAACAAGAAACTGAGAACATGGTTGAAATAGTACATTTTTGCAAGAAAATATGGATTTTGCAACTACGGGGCCAAGCCTAATTGCAAAATCGATAGGGACAAATTTTCCATTTTAAACATGTTTTAAGTTCCATGTTGTGAAAAGAAGTCTACACATATTCAAACAAAAAGGCAAAATGTAAGCCCGCCCACCCGCCCTGTGTCAATTGTGATGATTTTTTTTATTCGCTGTGAACCAAGGGGGCGAGTATAACTGCAAACACATTTCTTTACAAGAAATTAAAAACATGTTTTTGAGTATCGCGTTGTTCAAAGAATTCTATGTATATTAAGAAAAAAAGGCAAAATATAAACCTCGCCCACCCACCTCATCTCAATTGTGATCATTTTTTTATTCTTAGAAACTTAAAACATGTTTAAAATTGTAAATTTTTGTAAATAAATATGGATTTTGCATTTAGGCTCCGCCCCTAGGTCTGCAAACAAATGAAAATTTCATGATTATTATTAAGATCAGGGCAGGTATGGGTGGGGCTTAATCTTTGGCTTTAATTTTTTCTTAATCTATGTACATATTATTTTTTGAATAACACGATACTCAAAAACATATCTTACATAACCTTGGAATCAAGCCCCGCCCCTCGATCTGACAACGAATGAAAAATTTATCACAACTGAGTTCATAAATTCCACTTAAAATGCATGAAAATATATAGACTCTATTACAACACAATCCACCTTTGTTGGAACCACAGTTGTAACTTACTGGGAGATCAGCAATAGGTCGATTTCATCGGCTTCAATCAAATCAACAAACGGTAAAGCATCCATACCTGATAAACCAGGATGAATGCCACAATCTAGCTAAAAGCTAAAATAAGCCATTCCAAAACAAACAGTAGATAAGGACAGCTTACCATAATTTTTTTGCCCTTAAATTCAAGCATAATACAGGATCGGCCCACTTCCTGACCAGCACCCCTTAAAATAAAATAAGTGAGAGATATTTTTTAAATAAAACGGGGGCAGAAAAGTCGCCCCACACTTACAGTGGTCTTATGATTAATTGGTCACTTTCTTCTGCCGGTACTTGAGATTCTGGCTTCCTTTTTGTTGACATTTTGTGTAATGTGAATTTAGTTTTATACCAGATAGTATATCTTGTTCACCGTGTTAGATCCGACAGAAAACGATAATAATTATTTCATTTATTAGGTTATCTGATTTCAGTCATTATCATAACCTAAAAATCCTCAGTGCGTACCAACATAAAAAAAGCATTCAAATCAGTGGGGATATTCTACGTTCTATGATTCTATGGTTACTATCACAGAATAACTAGTAACACGTTTATATGTAGCTGTATTATGATTTTTTTTTAAATGTTCGTACTAAAATGAGAGTAATTTTTATTTGTACACAAAAGGTTTAATCATAGTGAGTCACAGATTAATATAGAAGAGACTAAACACTGCTGCCAACGTAAATCGAGGAGTCCTAGTCCTAGTTATTCTTTGTTCTGTGGGATTGACATATGGACATCATTGACGTCTCGTGTGCTGTGTGATGTGTCCGTTTTGTTAGAAGAAAATAAAAGTCTCCCTTAATGACGTTCAGTTAATGTGTTTGATTATTTGATTATCACTGATAACGTGTCCGATAATGATAAAAACAATAAGTAACAAATCGTACACCATGGAGAGTTAATTTAACTCATTCAAGTCTGTTTAATTTATGGTAAGTCACGAAAATACTATTTATTATCTCGAATTTTGATAAATTTCGAAATTTTGTAGATTATTTATCACCTTTGTAGCCTCTATCGCCACATTTTTAGACCTAACCTCAAAAAATTGAAAATGAGCCACAGCACACGAGAAGTCCCCTGGGGGATCCAACTGTTACAAAAAATAACAGATAAGTGTTGCCCACGTCTGCATTTCAATAGAGAATTATGGTGAGTACACCTACTTTTATCTAAATCATTGTTGTAAACCAATAATTCTGACTGGTCTACCACAAAAAGTCGTCAATGAAAGGAATACCAGGGATCGTTGTGCAATTAGCTTTTTCTAGCATATCACATTATTGAGATAACAGACATGATAATGAAATTTGAATATCTAAATAATAATGTAATTTTTATATGAATCTAAAACGAGATGTATATAAATGTATATAATAATTAAATTAATATTAAGATTAATATCTAAAAATCTTCATTCAGGTCAAGTTCAATATTTATTGGATTCATGTAGTAATAAAATGGGTAGTGAGATAAGTCCAACTGTGTGCTGTCATAGATTATCAATTGTGGGTGTTGTGGTTGGACACATCATCGCCTATTCATGAAAGAAGTTGATAAAATTTTATTATGCACTTATACTTTGGGAAATTTCTTTCTACCCTATAAAATTTTATTGGCAATAACGAGACGGACAGTAGTACAATAGCAAGAGATATTTACAACTTAAAGTTGTCGCGTGTCGGTAATACCCAGATGTTATAAAGCCGAATAATCCAGGTCCGGACAGGGACCATTATTTTATGAGTACAACTACATACCTGCTAAATGTTCTCCGACAAATTCAGATGTACATAAATATTTCTTACTATTGTACCACTGCCCGTCTCGTTATTGTCAATAACATTTTATAAGGTAGAATGAAATTTCCCAAACTATATGCAACTAAAATGAACTTACTGTAGTAGCTCACAGAAATAACACATTAATTTGTTGGCAATAAATTTCTCTCTTTTATAATGGACTTATTTAATGGTTCAAGGTGAATTTATAGACATGTCAATAGAATATGTACAAAAAAATTGTGAAGCAGTCAATTAATGAAAAAAAATATATAAACGGTATTGTTGATTTTCAGCTACCGAGCCAGTATTGTCTTCCTAACCTATGTAGCTTACATGTCTTACCATTTATCAAGAAAACCAATTTCCGTCGTAAAGACAGTCCTGCACCAAAACTGCAGTGGCATGACGCCGCCCCCTGACATAGACCCGAGCAACAGAGGGACGTGGTGCGACTGGGCCCCATTTAGTAAGAATGAATCACATTTTTCCAAACAGTGCTCTTTATTATACACATTTAGATGGAACGGACTCAAATGCATCTCAACTGCTGGGCGAATTGGATTCGTCTTTCTTGTTCAGTTACGCAGTTGCTATGTTTATTTCGGGGTTCATCGCCGAGCGATTCAACCTGAGATACTTTTTGAGCTTGGGGATGTTGTTGTCGGGGATTTTCAGCTACATGTTTGGAATCGCAAAGAGTTATAATATTCACAATTTGTGGTATTACGTAATCGTGCAGGTAAAATAAGAGAATTCTATGAAAAGTTTGTTGAATTTTCATTCCATTATAATGTTTACAGGGTCTGGCTGGAGTGGCTCAGACGAGCGGTTGGCCGGGAGTCGTTACCGTAATGAGCAACTGGTTCGGAAAGAAAAAACGCGGATTGATTTTTGGTTTGTGGAACTCGCACACAAGTATAGGAAATATTCTAGGTGAGGTTTTCGCCGATTTGGGTGCGTTTTGTACATCTAGGGATGTTGTTACAGGTTCGTTGATAGCAGCAGAGTACGTGGAAACTGATTGGTCGCTCTCGTTTATAATGCCGGGTTTGATAATCGGCATTGTTGGATTCGTAGTATTCCTATTTTTGGTGGTGAATCCTGGTGATGTAGGCTGCACCATCAGCGGTCCCGAGGAAAGGCAGCAGAATGGGGTAATTTTTTTTAATTAATCGTGAAAGAAATATTTATGACCTGACATGCTTTTTCTGATCTGTGTATGGTTACAGCTTGTTGAAATTGAAGAAAAAAAATTAAAAATCAGGTTTGGGGGTTTTTGGAGGAAAAGCTAAGAAAAAGTAAAGTGCAAAAAAATCAAGTACATTAGGTTAAAAAAAAACAGTCTGAAACAAACAGTAGAGATTTTAAAAAATGCAGGTGTACTATAATCAAACTGCAGCTTTTTTCATGTTCTAAGCCCGTGAAACAGTTCAGTCAACAAAAAAAATATGACAGAGAAATATCGTAAAAAAAGCACCTTTTCTTGCGTTGTTTTTTTTTTTTTTTTTGGAGTAAACAGAATCGCTTAAAAAGCCTCACACTGACAAAGTAACCTAAAATGTTTAATATTTAGTGATATAAATTTTGGTTTATCTTCAATATTTTGATTTTTAAGTTTCAGATTTTTAAATTTTTCGATTTCTCAATTTCTCGTTTTTTCAGGTTTTCGATTCTTCAATTTTCCTTTTTTCAATTCTTCGATTTTTTAAATTTTAGATCTTTGATTTCTCGGGTTTTCGATTTTTCAACTATTAATTTGAGATTTTTCAATTTTTTGTTGTTCCGATTTCCCGATTTTCGATTTTTGATTATCTTAATTCTTTAATTTATTAAATTATAGATTTCTCAATTTTTAGATTGTTCGATTTTTCATTTTTCGATTTTTTTTTATTTCAAATTTTTCAGTTCTTTACATTCGATTTCGATTTTGGCCCATTTCGATTTCTCAATTTTTCGTCATTTCAGTTTTGGAATGTTTCAATTTCACGAGTTTTCAAATTTTCCATTGTTCAATTTTTCGACTTTTAAATTTTAGATTTTTGAATTTCTAATTTTTTTATTTCTCCATTTCTAGATTTTTCGAGTTGACGGTTCTTCGATATTTCTATTTTTCAATGTTTCGCACTATTAAATTTTTTATTTTCGAGTTTTTTGATTTTTCCATTTTTCGATTTTTTGAACTCTACGTTTTTTGATTTTACAATTTTTTAGTGTTTCGATTTTTAAAATTTTCGATAATAATAATAATAATGATTTATTGACGGCAAATTTTAGCCTTTACATACATAAAAAGATACATAATCACTACTAGTAACTAATTATACAAAATGCGGCGCAGTGTCGCCTTAAAATTATTGAAAGTATCATTAAAAAAATCTACGTTGGCTGAGACTAGATACTAGATTACAAGCTAACAATATACTGTTGAGAGGCGAGTACAATGCATAATATTGACCGTAAGTTTCAATATAAAACAAAGGAACTTTACGAACTGCATATTGGGGCACATTAAATTTAAGCGTATGAAGAATTGATGGTGCATCACATATGTTATTAAGAAGCTTGAACATGAAACAAATTTTAAAAAATTTCCTACGATCACATAAATTATTTAATCCTACATAAATTTTGCACAGTTTAGGGGAGCCTCTAACACCATAAGGAAGCGAGCGCATTATAAATGTAATATATTTATTCTGGACAGATTCAATTCTATCAATATGTGTCTTATAAAATGGTGACCAAACGATACAGGCATATTCTAAAATTGACCTAACATACGTTTGTGTATAGAATATTTAGTGTTCGTAAATTTTTAAAATCTCTCCCATATCTTTTGATACAGCCAAGTGCTCTGTTAGCTCTTGCAATTACATTATCTATATGAGCCGCAAATGTTAACTTGCAATCTAAAATGACACCGAGATCTTTAATGGTAGTTGAAACTTTTAGTTTATTATGCATTATGCAGGAGATGACGATGATATTTTTTTACTAAATTTAACGATATGACATTTTTCACTGTTTATGATCATGAGATTTTCGTCACACCATCGAAGCAATGAAACTATATCACTCTGCAGGAACATTGTATCATTAAGGCCCTTGATAACCCTATATATTTTTAAGTCATCAGCAAATAAACTAAAAGCACAGACAAAGTTATTACCAATATCGTTAATGAACAACGAGAACAAAAACGGTCCTAAAATTGACCCCTGGGGGACACTAGAAGGTACATGTCGGAAACTTGACAAACTTAGACCCAGTTTAACTTGCTGGCATCTATCACAGAGATAACTTTTGAACCACCGTAAGAGAGAGCCACAAATACCATAAGCATTTAACTTCTTTACTAAAATACTGTGATTAATTTTATCAAACGCTTTGCTTAAATCGGTATAAATAGCATGAACCTCAAATCCAACACTCATGGCGTCAATTAACTCATTCGTAAAACAAAGTAAATTAGTGACAGTAGACCGTTTGTTAATAAATCCATGTTGGTATGGAGTAATAATATTTTTATATACGGTAAAACATTTATTGTACACAATTGATTCAAATAATTTACTTGGTGTAGACAGAATCGAAACTGGACGATAATTTTCAACATGGTGTTTACTGCCAGATTTGTGTACTGGTACTACATGTGCTTTCTTCCATAACATGGGAAATTCACCAGACTTTAGAGACAAGCTAAATAAAATATGTAATGGTGTAGCAATTGGGGGACCACATTCTCTAAAAAACTTCGGTGGTATATTATCAGGACCAGGTCCCTTACTAGAATCAAGTTTAGACAAAGCTTCAACTACATCAGATAAATTAATTGATATATTGCTAAATCTAACATCGCAATCATAAGACACGTCAAAATCAGGCTTAGAATTATTACAATATACAGAAGAAAAATAAGCATTAAAAGCTTCACAAGCCGCAACCTCATCAGAAAAGAATTGGTCACCAAAGCTCAGAGGCAAATTAACAAGATTGTTATTTGAGGATTTACGCATAGCGCGTATGAATTTCCAGAAATATTTAGGATTACTCACAAGATTATTTTCAACTGTACTTACGTAATTATTATATTCTTGTCTTATACTTATTCTACATAACCGTCTAAGTTCACAAAATTTTTGATAATCTGCGACACAGGATGTAAGCTTGAACTGCTTGTGAGCACACTTCAGTTTTTCGAATTTTTAAATTTTCGATTTTTTTATTTGAAATATTTCTCTATTTTTCAGGTTTTCGATTCTTCAGTTTTCCTTTTTTCAATCCTTCGATTTTTTAAATTTTAGATCTTTGATTTCTAGGGATTTCGATTTTTCGACTTTTAATTTTAGAATTTTGAATTCTTGGATTTTTCAATTTTTTGATGGTCTGATTTCTCGATTTTCAATTTTTGATTATTTTAATTTTTCAATTTATTAAATTATAGAATTCTCCATTTTTAGATTGTTCGATTTTTGAATTTTTTGAATTTTTTTTATTACAAATTTTTCAGTTCTTAACTTTCGATTTCAGTTTTGGAATGTTTCAGTTTCACGAGTTTTCAAATTACCCATTATTCAATTTTTACGACTGTTAAATTTTAGATTTTTGATGTTTCGATTTCTCGAGTTTTTAGTTTTTCGAATTTTTAAATTTTAGATTTTTCGACTTCTCAGTTGTAGACTTTTCGATTTTCCATTTTTTCGTCATTTTTGGCGTTACTAAATTTTTAGATTTTTTGATTTCTCAATTTTTGGTTTAATGGATTTTTTAATTTTTCGACTTTCGACTTTTCGTCTTTCCGATTTTTCAAATCTTCAATGTTAAAGTTTTGAGATTTTTCAATATGTATTTCTCGATTTTCGAATTTTTAGATTTTTTGACTTACTGTTTTTCTGATTTTTTACTTATCCGATTTTCAAAAAAATGTTACATTTCTCGATTTTGTAAATTTTCTAATTTTTCAATTTTTTAAGTTTTAGATCTTTGATTTCTCGGTTTTTCGATGTTTCGATATTTTAGTTTTTCAATTTTTTAAATTTTAGGTTCCTCGATTTCTAAATTTTTTGTTTTCGAGTTTTTTTGATTTTTCAATTTTTCATCTTTTTGAATTTCACGTTTTTCGATTTTCCGATTTTTTAATGTTTCGATTTTTAAAATTTTCGATGCTCCTGTTTTGGCATTTTTTAATTTTTCAACATTTCGATTTTTAAATTTTAGATTTTTCGAGTTCTTGTTTGTACATTTTTCGTTTTCTCAATTTCTCGATTTTTCAGGTTTTCGATTCTTCTATTTTCCTCTTTTCAATTGTTCGATTTTTTAAATTTTAGATCTTTGATTTCTCGGGTTTCCGATTTTTCGACTTTTAATTTTAAATTTTTGAATTCTTGAAGTTTCGTCCTTTTCGTCTTTTTTCGTCCTTTTCGTTCTTTTTCATCCTTTTCGTTCTTTTTCATCCTTTTCGTCCTCATTATCCTTTTTCGTCCTTTGTCGTCCTCTTTTTGCGCCTTTTTCGTCATTTTCATCCTTTTTCGTCCTTTGTCGTCCTTCTTATCTTTTTTCGTCCTATGTCGTCCTTTTCGTCCTTTGTCGTCCTTATTCGTCCTTTGTCGTCCTTTGTCGTCCTTATTCGTCCTTTGTCGTCCTTATTCGTCCCGGCCTTTTCGTCCTTTTTCGGCCTTATTATTCTCTTTCGTCCTTTTCATCATTTTTTGTCCTTGTTCGTCCCTGTTCGTCCTTTTCGTCCCTGTTCGTCCTTTTCGCCCCTGTTCGTCGTTTGTCGTCCTTTTTAGTCCTCTTTTTCCTCCTTTTTACTTCCCGAAGGTAAGCAAAGGAAGTATTGTAATCGAGTCCGTCGGCCGACTTTCTACTTTTGCATTTTCTCGACCTATCATGACCCCAAGAGGACGAAGAAAATAGGTCTCCCATTTCCGTCTGTCTGTCCGTCAGCTTATTAAATTATAGATTTCTCCATTTTTAGCTTGTTCGATTTGTAAATTTTCGATTTGTCGCCTTTTCAATTTTGAAATGTTTCAATTTCACGAGTTTTCAAATTTTCTATTGCTCAATTTTTCCATTTTTCAATTTTAGATTTTTGAATTTTTCGATTTTTCGGTTCTTTGCACTTCCGATTTCTCGATTTTCAATTTTTCGGTATTTTTAATTTTTTTAACTTTTAGATTCCTCGATTTCTAGATTTTTCGAATTCAGTTTTTTTATTTGCCAATTTTTCGACTTTTTAAATTTTAGATAATTTATGAATTTTTCGATTTTTTGATGTTTCGAATTCTCGAGTTTTCAGTTTTTCGAATTTTTAAATTTTCGATTTTTCGACTTCTCGGTTCTTGGATTTTTTTATTTTAAGTTTTTCATTTCGTAATTTTCCATTTTTTCATTTCAGTTCAATTTTTAAATTTTTGGCGTTTCTAAATTTTTGGATTTTTGATTTCTCAATTTCTGGATTAACGGATTTTTTAATTTTTCGACTTTCGAATTTTGGTCTTTCCGATTTCTCGATTTGTCAATTTTTCGATTTCCAAATTTTCAGTGTTAAAGTTTTGAGAGTTTTGAATATGTATTTCGATTTTTAAATTTTTATATTTTTCGACTTTTTGATTTTTTACTTATTCGATTCGATTTTTTATATTTCGATTCGTTGATGTTTTGATTTCTCGATTTTGTAAATTTTCAATTTTTCGAATTTTTAAATTTAAATTTTTGACGATTTTTCGATTTATGGAGTTTTTTAAGTTTTGGGATTTTTCAATTTTGCGATTTTACAAATTTCGATTTTTAAATTTTTACATTACAGTGAAAAAAAAAATTAAAAATTAATTCCGAAAAATTGAAAAATCGAAAAATATAAAAACGAGAGAGCAAAAAATGAAAGATTGAGAAATCGAAACAAAAAGGTGAAAAATTGAAAATTTAAAAAATCGAGCAATCAAAACATCAACAAATCGAAAAATAAAAAACTGAAAAATCGAAAAATGTAATATTTAAAAAGTCGCAATACATATTTTGAAAAATCGTATTAGTAAAAAATCAAAAACAAAATTCGACATTTTGTCTTTAATTTCCAGCGAACGTACCGAAAGCTTCAAAATCGCGTCGCCAACGTGGACAACTCCTCCAATGTCAGTTCTGAAACCGACGACACAGACATCATCCTTGGAGAAGAGGTGTGTACAACATCCCCTCTGGCCATGACCCCTTTACTCAATTTTTTTTCACACTACTGTACACTTTTTAAAATTCATTTTAGGCCACCAATACACACAATGTTCAATACATGTCCTCCGACGACTTTGTAAGTGCATGCTAAAGTTAAAATCGGGTACCGTTTCACTTTTTTCCCGGAAACTGTCACTCGCGAGGTGACTGATTTGAATATTTTCAAGGAAGTCCAGAGGAGGTTGACCGAAAGAACGCGACTGCTGAGAGGCAACGCTCCCGAGAGCACCGAAAGGGCGATTGGATTTCTTGGAGCTTTGAAAATTCCAGGAGTTGTAGAGTTTTCTCTGTCGCTGTTCTTTTCAAAACTTGTTAGTTACACGTTTTTGTATTGGCTACCTCTGTACATCAGCCACTCTAACCGTAAGTTATTAGTGGAAATTAACGAGATACATAATTTTGCTCTATTCAATTCGATTTTGAAAATGTTGAGTTGGTCGGCTAGATTGTTGTGTAGTTGTATTTTAGAGGCCATGGGCGCCACTTTGAGTGCCGACTTATCAACACTCTTTGATGTTGGGGGAATAATAGGAGCAATCGCCGCCGGCGTCATCAGTGACCATAGCGGTATGTCGGCAACGACATGCGTCGGTATGTTGGCCGTCGCCGCCCCTATGGTGAGTCAAACGCTGTTGATAGACAGCGGATATCCGTCGGGCCGAGAAAAATCAAACTACTGATTCCCGGCGATCCACGCGTCCCCAACTATAATCGAGACGTAGCCCGACAGAAATCCGCTGTCTAGTTATTGAACAAGAATTCACCCAGTATTCCACAGATGTTCATTTATGAAAGATACAGTGCTTACAATTTGGCTGTGAACATGATACTCCTCATAATTGTCGGAATATTGGTGAATGGTCCATATGCTTTGATAACCACAGCCGTTTCGGCCGAATTGGGTACGCACTCGAGTTTAGAAGGAAATTCTAAAGCTTTGGCGACGGTTACTGCCATTATTGATGGGACAGGATCCATTGGTAAAAATTCGATAGAGTCTAAATATGTTTTTGTTTACTGATTTTCTTTTGCAGGAGCTGCAGTTGGACCTTTGCTGGCAGGTTTCGTTTCCAGTTACGGCTGGAATAATGTTTTTATAATGTTGATGATTTCCGATGTGTTGGCCCTCGTTCTACTCTTACGATTATTCAAGCACGAGATCCGGAAGTACCGAAGTTCACGAAGACAGATCAGAATTGAATAACGTTAAATATCGCTGGCGCATATTATTCCTGCTCGTGACGTATTATCTTATCAAACCATAGTCTAAGAATTGCGATAATCGTGTCGCATTGATTAGACGAATCAATTTTAATGTGATATTGTTTTATTATACTGGAGGATATAATGTGTTACAGCTTTAAAAAATTTTTTTTTATTTATGTTGTTACCGTGTACAGGATGTTATGGCGCTAAAATGAATTGTTTACATTCCTAACATGTTACAGTGTCTTATGTATTTTAATAAGAACCACAGCAGAAAAAAGGTGAGTCATTTTTAACCCAAGAAACGAACGCAGTCAAGTAAAGGTAATAAGTTTAAAGTTCGCCTACAAATGAGCAGAAGTACCGAATAACTACTAATGATTGTGACTTTTTTTTTTATGAGGTTGGCGACACATTAAAATTTTTGATGGTACTTCATTGTCAAATTGACATTTATGTAGCCATAAGCAATCAACACGTTTGTTAGGCGTGGCTGCCAATATTTCAGAATTGCCAACACAAAAATTTGCTTCAATCATTTATCGTCGCCCATTACTTCCATTTTTGCCGTTGAGAAGAACTTTAAATAAGTCTACAGATATTTAAAAAATCAAAACAAAATGTTGCCCCGCCCACCCGCCCTATCCCAATTGTGATGATTTTTTTATTCGTCGTGAGCCAAAGGGGCGGAGCTTAACTACAAAATCCTTATTTTTCTAGGAGAAATTAAAAACAAGTTTTTAAACCATTATAATGAATTTTTCATTCGTTGTCAGGTCGAGGGGCGGGGCTTAATTGCAAAATCCATAGTTGTCTACAAGAATCTACTATTATATTAAGAAAAAATTAAAGCCAAAGAGTAAGCCCCACCCATACCTGCCCTGATCTAAATAGTGATAAAGTTTACATTCGTTGGCATACCTAGGGGCGGATCCTAATAGCAAAATCCATATTTACTTACAAAAATTTATCATTTTAAACGTGTTTTAAGTTTCTTAGAATAAAAAAAATCAAATAATTATATTTCGCCTTTTTTTTCTTAATACATATACATACATGTTTTTAATTTTTCGTAAAGAAATAAGTATTTTGCAGTTAAGCTCCGCCCTCTTGGTTCTCGGAGAATACAAAAAATCATCACAATTGAGAACGGGCGGGTGGGCGGGCTTACATTTTGAATTTTTGTGTACGGAAATATCGATTTTGCAATTAGGCTCCGCCCCATAATTTGCAAAAATGTACCATTTCAACCATATTTTAAGTTTGTTAACGCGAAAAGATGGCTATGTATATTAAGAAAAAAAAGGACAAAATATAAGCCCCGCCCACCCGCCCTATCTCAATTCTGATGATTTTTTTATTCGCCGTGAGCCGAGGGGCGGAGCTTAATTGTAAAACCCTTATTTTTCTACGAGAAATTACCATCTGAAATACGTTCTAAGTACTCGTGTTAAATACAAAAAAACTTAAATGTATTAATTAAAAAAGAAAGCCTAAAAAGAAGCCCACCGTCTCGATGTCAATCGTGATGAATTTTTCATTCGTTGTCAGACCGAGGGGCGGAGCATAATCGCAAAATCCATTTTTGTCTACAAGAATCTAGTATTATATTAAGAAAAAATTAAAGCCAAAGATTAAGCCCCACCCACACCTGCCCTGATCTAAATAGTAATAAAGTTTTCATTCGTTGGCATACCTAGGGCGGAGCCTAATAGAAAAAGTCCATATTTACTTACAAAAATTTATCATTTTAAACGCCTTTTAAGTTTCTTAGAATAAAAAAAATCACCACAATCGAGACTGGGTGGGTGGGCGGGGTTTATATTTTGCCTTTTTCTTTCTTAATATACATACATGTTTTTAATATCTTGTAAAGAAATAAGTATTTTGCAGTTTTGCTCCGCCCCCTCGGTTCTTGGAGAATCAAAAAAAAATCATCACAATCGAGAACGGGCGGGTGGGCGGGCTTACATTTTGTTTTTCTGTGTAAGGAAATATCGATTTTGCAATTAGGCTCCGCCCCATAATTTGCAAAGTCCATAATGTACCATTTTAACCATATTTTAAGTTTCTTATCGCGAAAAGATGGCTATGTATATTAAGAAAAAAAAGGACAAAATATAAGCCCCGCCCACCCGCCCTATCTCAATTCTGATGATTTTTTTATTCGCCGTGAGCCGTGGGGCGGAGCTTAATTGTAAAACCCTTATTTTTCTACGAGAAATTACCATCTGAAATACGTTCTTAAGTACTCGTGTTAAATACAAAAAAACCTAAATGTATTAATTAAAAAAGAAAGCCAAAAAAAAAGCCCACCGTCTCGATCTCAGACCGAGGGGAGGAGCATAGTTGCAAAATCGATATTTTCGTATACAAATTTACCGTTTTGAAACATGTTTTAAGTTTCCTGTTGTGAACACATATTAAAAAAACAAAGCAAAATGTTAGCCCCGCCCACCCGCCCTATCCCAATTGTGATGATTTTTTTATTCGTCGTGAGCCAAGAGGGCGAAGGTTAACAGCAAAATCCTTATATCCCTACAATGTTTTTGAGTATCGTGTTGTTCAAAGAATATATGTATATTAAGCAAAAAACAAGCCAAAAATTAAGCCCCACCCATATCCAACCCAAACTCAATTGAGATGACTTTTTCATTCGTTGTCAGACCGAGGGGCGGAGCCTAATTACAAAATCGATACTTTCCTACAAAAATTTACCATCTAATTAAACATGTTTTACCTTTCTTGTTGTGAAAAAAGACTACACCACACATATTAAGAAAAAAGGGCACAATTTAAGCCTTGTAAACTTCTAAGGTTTTCGAGATTCCTTCGCATTTTTATTTTTGCAAAATGTTGCGAATCAATTTCGAACTAATAAAATTCGGAAGATTTGCTACTGATGTTACCAATTCTATCCAAGTAGACCTGAAAAATTTAGTCCTATATTTAGAAAATTTGATTTTTTTATTAAACGGGTTGGTTTTTTTTTTTTTGTTATAATTAAAGTTTTCATATATATTTCATTAATTGATATATTAAAATTTCAAAATTTCTCACAAAAACTCATTAACACTAAAGTATAGTTATAGTGCCAAAATTCTGTGAATAAAGTGAGTTTAATTTGTAATGTGTGGCAAAGCCACTGTATTCAGTATAATCACATTTATATTAATTAAAGGAAGTCATAAAGTTCCCGCACAAAATACAACAAACATCAGTCATTAAATACGTTTATAATACAAAAATAATAATTATGTGAATTAATAAAATAACTTATGGAGATCCTGTAGGTATAATAAACGATATATTATCAGCAAATTCTCCCCAATTTGTTCGGTTGATCTGAAATATTGTCACCCACGTAATTATAATAACAGCCCAAATCAAAGAACCTATTCCTGAGTAGACAACATCTGAAATAATTATCAAAATTAACTCAGTCACTTTGCATTTGCTATACTTACATTTGCGTATTTGCTTTTGCTCAGCATATTCTGGTTTTCTGAATGCTTCGTTAAAAAACCAAATCGCATTTACTGTCCATATAAACGGCAAAAGCGCTAGACCAGCTATGTAAGGACAGAAACAAATATAACTAAAAACTTCGTAAATATTGAGATTTTTACCTCGAAAATACCATCGGCACAAATATAATTTCCTCTCATTTGGGACTTTCGACAAATCCATTTTTCTGGTCTTGGACGAATGCTAAAACAAAATCCTGACAAACTTTTCTTTGTACCTTTGTAATCTTGTAGACCACAAAAAATAGGGTAGTTTGTAGAAGTTATGAGGTTATGTTAAATGAAATGTCAAAACTATGTGTCAAAAGCCAAAGTCACTATTTCGAGATTGGCGGCCCTGAGTGTTTCGTTTTGTGGCGCTTTTGAATAGTTTAGACAGGAAGTGAGGTTAGGTCCATTTTTTGTTTAGAAAAGTAATTTCTGTGACAAAAACGCAAAATGAAGTCCCAGACTGAATATAAACTGAAATCTCCGCCCGAGGATGCGATTTCTGCGGTGAAATTCGGACCCAACACCAACCAGTTCCTCTTAGTGAGCTCCTGGGATGGAACCGTTCGTCTATACGACGTAACAACGAACAATTTGAGGCACAAATACACGCACGACGCACCAGTCTTGGATTGCTGCTTTACTGTAAGAAAATTGCCAAGTTTCGATTAGGGTCTAGTTTGATTTTATAGGATGCCGTACATTCTTACAGCGGGGGCTTAGACAACACCTTGAAGTCTTTCGATTTCAACACTACCACCGAAAACACAGTCGGGGCTCACACGAACGCCATCAAATGCGTTGAGTATTGCTGTGAAGTCAATGGTGTGTATTAATTTCGGAAATAGTTCCCATTAACCAATTGTAATTACAGGCATTCTTACGGGCAGTTGGGATCACCACATCAAACTGTGGGATCCGAGGACACCCATGTGCAGTGGCAGCTACAACCAAGGCGAAAAAGTGTACACCATGAGTGTATGCGGCGAGAAGCTTGTTGTTGGGACGGCGGGAAGAAAGATTCTTGTTTGGGATGTTCGAAATATGTCATACACTTTGCAGAAACGCGAATCGAACTTGAAATATCAAACGCGGGCTATTAGGTGTTTTCCAAATAAACAGGGGTTTGTTTTGAGTAGCATCGAGGGTAGGGTGGCGGTGGAATATTTAGATACTAATCCGGAAGTGCAGAAGAAGAAATATGCGTTTAAGTGTCACAGGATTAAGGAGGATGGGCTGGAGAAGATTTTTCCAGTAAATGCGATCAGGTAAGTGAAATAAAAATAAAATTTAATAAACGGATCGTGTATGCAACCAAACATACATTTGACAAATGACGCTAAATCAGAACTTCAATCAAGGCGGCTAATTTGACGTTACGTCAAAAATTTCAATACCGGGTGATTTTTTGATTTGTGATCTACTGACTGAAGAATTTGTTGATAAAACAGCTAAAAACATTATTGTTAATAGAAATTACGCAACTCGTCGGTTAAATAACTATAAATTTCCTAATTATTAACTTCCATTTGAAAAATGAAAAAAATTGGTTAATTGTAAATTAGTATAAAATTTCTGTTTAGATGTTTGTGATTAATATATAAAATAAATCAAAATTCCATTTTTTCAGTTTTCATCCAGCACACAATACTTTTGCCACTGGTGGATCCGATGGATATGTCAATATATGGGACGGTTTCAACAAGAAGAGGTTATGTCAATTTCACCAGTATCACACGTCTATTACATCTCTTGGGTTTAGTCATAATGGTGAGTAATGAAGGAAAAACCTTTTTTATCACTTATTTAGTGAAATTGAGTACAACTTTAGTGGTAAATTACTCGTAATTGTAGTTTTTGATTTTAATGTGAGTGTTGATTTTTTTTCAGGATCTGTTTTGGCGATCGCGTGTTCGTATTTCCTAGAGGAGGAGAACCCACCGAATCCTCTTCCTGAAAACGCGATTTATATTAGAGCAGTTACAGATCAAGAAACCAAACCCAAGTATAGCGCCACCAGTTAATTTATTTGTATTGAGTTTTTTCATGTATGTAAGTTTTTATTTAAACTATAGTCAGTAATAAAGAAATTAATGTAATTAAGAAGAGTGATGCATCATGTTTGGTTGCCCAGTTACAGGCGTCTGCGTCGTTACAGCTTTGAACACATCCGCGTGCGTATCTAAAAAAAACACGGATTTTTAAAGTTTAAAAAACACAATTTAGAAGTCATACCTATTGTCGTAATAAAATCCACCACAGTGCGACATCCTTACGATTTCTGTATCAGTTGTCAACGTCCCGCTATCCAAAGCACACCCTCTTACGACGATTGTGTCACCATTGTCATCTAAAACACAAATTTGAATTCTCTGCAAAAACCATACTCGAATTTTCACCGAATGTTCCCGTAATTTTGACACAAGATGTTGCCGGAAACAGTCCATCGCGTCCTTTCCTCCCTCCCATACAGGGTGACTCAAAAACATCCAAAGTGTAGTTGTTGTGAAAGGGATCTTCACAGGGCATGTAATCCTGATTGATGGACACGCATTTGAAGCAGTCGATGCATATCACTGTATTTTTATCAATGAGTAATTACGTGTGGGTGATGAAAGGTTTCCGGCTGTTTACGTGGTCGTCGTGTTAAATTTGCAAATAGTCGCGACGATCGTAGCATCACCCGGAAAGCATTCATTCATGATTAATTAATAAAATTTAATGACATTTTCTGAGATCTAAAAATGTGGTGGGGACGTTTCACTTACCAGGAAGCAATTTCAGCGTTATGGTTATTAAAAATAATAATTGACTTCTTGTATACATGTTTCGAGTGTTTATTTTGCGGTGGTTATGTGAAGCACCACGCAAGAGCACGTTGTAAAGAAAATGCGAATTATCGACCGGTATGGAAATAATCAATATTTTTACCCGGCTTTATGTGGAGCGGATTTAAAGACGTACTACTTATCAAAAGATAACGAAAAAAGCGATGTCGATGCGTCTGTGTTTTTTTTATTCCTTACGATTGTGACCATGGGAGATGCATTTTATGCTGATAATGCGTCTTTTATCTGGGAGCTGGGGCATGGGACATTCATTGGTAATTTATTTTCATTGTTCATCGAGATTTGAAACGTGATGGGTGAGTACTCGCTCTCCGTTACCAGACGGGCACTTGATTATCTCTATTGGTGTTACAGAGCGTCGTGACCCTTGCAGCGATTTAGATAGCTGGTTAGATCCCAGCAAGGAGGGGAAGTCGCGTGAGTTTTTTTTTATTTTTCTTTTTTTTGTTCTTTTCCGTCTCTTAGGAAAACATCATACCTCTATTTTTTTTATTATTTTTGTATGTAGTTTCCGAGCCAACTCCTCCGGGTCCACTAGCGGCGCTTGAGCCACCAGACTCTGGTAAGTGATGTGGTTTTTATTTAATTTAATTTTTAGCTCTTTCTGACACCTCCCTTTCCTCTTTTTGACTTTCTTGTCACTTATCTACTCTTTTTCTTTGTCAGGTCGCCAAGTACGGGTTCACGTGGAAATGCGCCGTAGGTCCGACGCCATTCGCTTCTTCCAAGGGCCTCTGCAATTCCCAGAAGGCCGGCCCGTCATCCACCTCCCCAACGGCGGGGAGATGGTGTTCGACTACACCACTGACCGCTTGTCTGTCTACATCAAGTTCTGATTCTCTGCCAGCTGCCCCCTTTTTTTGTTAGTTTTTGAATCTTGATATAAAGGATGTGAAATTTTCCTCTTTTTTTTTTCCCTTGTCATGTGTGTTGAAATACAAACACAACTTTTTGTTTAATAAAATGTAACTGGTAATTTTCCCGGTTTTAACACAATTCGGATGGAAAGGGCAATGCTGTTTAGTTGGTTGCCTGGCCTGCAATCTTTCACGAGCAATGTCCTCTACAGGTTTTCTACTGCTAGTCTGTTACGATTACGATCAACGTCGGCCCCCGGCGAAAAATATTTTCGGGCCCCGTCGAGTGGTACTCTTTTTAAAAAATCAAATAAAATTTTAGAGAAAACAATGTTTTAATTACAAATTTAGGTAAAATTTCTATTACTAGTACCAAAAGTGCTAAGATTTATTACTATCCGTCTCAAACACAGGTTAAATATTATAACTACAAGGGCTTACATTTTGCCCTTTTCTCTTAATATGTGTAGTCTTCTTTTCAAAACAAGAAAGCTAAAACGTGTTTAAAATGGTAAATTTTTGTACGAAAGTATCGATTTTGCAATTAGGCTCCGCCCCTTGGTCTGGCAACGAATGAAAAATTCATCACAATTGAGCTTGGGATGGATATGGGTGGGGCTTAATTTTTGGCTTGTTTTTTTCTTTATATACATAGTAGTCTTTCACCAATACAATACTCATACATGTTTATATTCCTTGTAGAGAAATAAGGATTTTGCAATTAAGTTGCGCCCCCTTGGCTCACGACGAATAAGAAAAATCATCACAACTGAGATAGGGTGGGTGGGTGGGGTTTATATTTTGCCTTTTTTTCTTAATATGTGTAGTCACCTTTTCACAACAAGAAACTTAAACATGCTTAAAATGCTAAATTTGTATAGGGAAATATCGATTTTACAATTAAGCGCCGCCTTTCGGCTTACGATATATACAAAAAATCATCAGAATTGCCATCTTTTCATTTCAAACTTATGACATGGTTAAAATGTTTTTTGTAAGGAAATATGGATTTTGCAATTACGGGGCTGAGCCTAATTGCAAAATCGATATTTCCTTATACAAATTTTCCATTTTGAACATGTTTTAAGTTTCATGTTGTGAAAAGAAGTCTACACATATTAAAACAAAAAGGCAAAATGTAAGCCCCGCCCACCCGCCCGATCTCAATTGTGATGATTTTTTTTATTCGTCATGAGCCAAGAGGGCGAAGCTTAACTGCAAAATACTTATTTTTTTACAAGAAATTAAAAACATGTTTTTGAGTATCGTGCTGTTCAAAGAATTCTACGTATATTAAGAAACAAAGGCAAAATATAAACCCCGCCCACCCACCTCATCTCAATTGTGATGATGTTCTTAATCTTAGAAACTTAAAACAGGTTTAAAATGGTAAATTTTTGTCAAGAAATATGGATTTTGCATTTAGGCTCCGCCCCTCGGCTTACGACGAATAAAAAAGAATCATCAGAATTGAGATAGGGCGGGTGGGCGGGGCTTATATTTGGCCTTCTTTTTCCTTAATATATATATATAGCCATCTTTTAATTTCAAACTTATGACATGATTAAAATGTTTTTTGCAAGGAAATAGGGATTTTGCAATTATGGGGCGGAGCCTAATTGCAAAATCGATGTTTCCTTATACAAATTTTCCATTTTGAACATGTTTTAAGTTTAATGTTGTAAAAAGAAGTATACACAATTTAAAACAACAAGGCATAGTGTAGGCCCGCCCACCCACCCGGTCTCAATTGTGATGATTTTTTTTTATTCGCCGTGAACCAAGGGGGCGAAGCTTAGCTGCAAAATCCTTATTTCTTTACAAGTAATTAAAAACATGATTTTGAATATCGTGTTCAGAGAATACTATGTATATTAAGAAAAAAAGGCAAAATGTAAACCCCGCCCACCCACCCCATCTCAATTGTGGTGATTTTTTTATTCTTGGAAACTTAAAACACGTTTAAAATGGTACATTTTTGTCAATAAATATGGATTTTGCAATTAGGCTCCGCCTCTAGGTCTGCCAAAAAATGAAAATTTCATTATTATTAAGATCAGGGCAGGTATGGGTGGAGCTTAATCTTTGGCTTTAATTGTTTCTTAATATATGTACATAGTATGTTTTGAATAACACGATACTCAAAAACATGTCTTACATGGTAATTTCTCAGGAAAAGTAAGGAGTTTACAATTAAGCTCCGCCTCTCGGCTTACGACGAATAAAAAAGAATCATCAGAATAGAGATTGGGCGGGTGGGCGGGGCTTATATTTTGCCTTTTTTCCCTTAATATACATAGCCATCTTTTCATTTCAAACTTATGACACGGTTAAAATGTTTTTTTGCGAGGAAATATGAATTTTGCAATTATGGAGCGGAACCTAATTGCAAAATCCATATTTCCTTATGCAAATTTTCCATTCTGAACCTGTTTTAAGTTTCATGTTGTGAAAAGAAGTATACATACTTTAAAACAACAAGGCATAGTGTAGGCCCACCCACCCACCCGGTCTCAATTGTGATGATTTTTTTTTATTCGCCGTGAACCAAGGGGGCGAAGCTTAGCTGCAAAATCCTTATTTCTTTACAACTAATTAAAAACATGATTTTGAATATCGTGTTCAGAGAATACTATGTATATTAAGAAAAAATGCAAAATATAAATCCCGCCCACCCACCCCTTCCCAATTTTGGTGATTTTTTTTTTTTCTTAGAAACTTAAAACACGTTTAAAATGGTAAATTTTTGTCAAGAAATATGGATTTTGCAATTAGGTTCCGCCTCTAGGTCGGCCAACAAATGAAAATTTCATTATTCTTAAGATCAGGGCAGGTATGGGTGGGGCTTAATCTCTGGCTTTAATTTTTTCTTAATATAGGTACACAGTATTTTTTGAATAATACAGTACTCAAAAACATGTCTTACATGGTAATTTCTCGTAGCAAAATAAGGATTTTACAGTTAAGCTCCGCCCCTCGGCTTACGAGGAATAAAAAAGAATCATCAGAATTGAGATAGGGCGGGTGGGCGGGGCTGATATTTGGCCCTTTTTTTCTTAATATACATAGCCATCTTTTCATTTCAAACTTATGACATGGTTAAAATGTTTTGTTGCAAGGAAATATGGATTTTGCAATTATGGGCCGGAGCCTAATTGCAAAATCGATATTTCCTTATACAAATTTTCCATTTTAAACTTGTTTTAAGTTTCATGTTGTGAAAAGAAGTCTACACATATTAACAAAAAGGCAAAATGTAAGATTATTTATAAGAGAAACATGCCTAGTGAATACGAAATTCGTTTTTATGAATATGTTGCATAGTAATTATTTTCAAATTTTTTTGATGTAAAATGGAATTTTAATATTTGTATTAACGAATGTCTCGCAGCTAATTACCACGGTGAAAGTGAAAGTTTAATAAGAAATGATCTTCACCACTGCCAATAAACTAATGATGCAAAATTTTGTTTAAATGTAACTATTTAGAACCAAATGTAAAATTTAATAGTTTTATTTTATTTGACTTCTGCGACAGTGGAGGGCAAACGATCTCCACTACCTTTTTGGAAAAAAACTTTGCTTCACTAGTCTTGTAATCTATGCTTACTTACGAGTTTTCAATCATACACAGATATTAGGTACTGCAAAATTTAAACGAGTTGATCCCCCACTCTTCCAGACATGGATTATCAATTGACGAACCACACTCCGAAAATCTGTGTTAGTTGAACTGTGTATGCGGCTTTTGACTTTTTTTGAGTGACGATGTAAAAGAACTTTTGGAGATGACGGAGTTGAAACCAAACGTGCCCATTGCTGGTGCAAACTCCTTTCTAACCCACAGTCAACGCAATCTTAATTACAAAATTTTTATATACTGCGGTATCGTTATCCTCTTCGTAGAAATCTGCCTAGGCTACTATTTGTATAGGCAGATTAACTTGGATATACAAAATGGTTACATAACTAAGCAAGATTTCGATCCATATTTTATAAATGAAATTCGTGGTGAAGATATTAGAGAAAAAATTATTCGAACTTTAACTGAATGTGAAAAATTTAGAAACATTCCCAACAGAAAAAGACGAAACACGGACAGTGAAGAAGATCAGTCCGCAACTTCGGTATGTAACTTTGCACACTCTTAGGAAAAACTAGTTACTTTAATGTCTAGAGTTGTGTTATTATTATATATTTGTATTATTCTTTTAAAATATAATGCATAGATACGTACATAAAAGGGGAACATAAATAAATAAATTATCGCCAAATAACCCTGATAACCCTGTTGTGCAATTTGGAAATTATGTGTTACTTAGTAAGTGCCTGCTGATAAAGAAACTCGTTTTTAACCTTGGAATTTTTAAATAATTTTGCACAATTCTTGCATTTTTTTTTCCACCTATTTATTTTAAATATTATAGGAAAAATCACTTGAGGACTACTGTCGGGTGATTCTTCAGTCCTGTCCTCCAGGGAACCCAGGCTTGGTAGGACAACCAGGACTAAAGGGAGAACGAGGACCTTATGGACCACCAGGGTCAAAAGGAGAAAAAGGAGATGCAGGTGAGAAACATTGTTTTGCTCTATTTGGAATAAATATTGTATTTTTTAATGGTTACATCGCAAAGGAGTTCCCACACCACCGATAGTGAAAGGAGAGAAAGGAGAAAAGGGAGAGCCAGGTTCTAGAGGATTACCAGGGGGTGAGAACATTTTCTTATGTGACAAATTTAATGAATAACGTTACTATTTACGGTTGCTAGATACCCCCCTCAAAGGAAATCCAGGGATCCCGGGAATTCCAGGTAAAACAAATTCATCGATATAGATGGCTGATTGTATGATTTTAAATTTTATTTTAGGATTTCCTGGTCCCAGGGGATTACAAGGACCTCCGGGCTTAGATGGTCTTCCAGGTAAGAATATAATAGACCAAAGGACGTTTTTTGACATAAATATTAACTTAACTTATTAAAATTGTATGCTTTGTGTAGGGATACAAGGTCCTCGGGGGATGCCAGGTCTTCCAGGAACTCCAGGCATTGCAGGGCTTCAAGGGGATCCAGGGGTTCCAGGTTTGCAAGGATCCTAAAGTCTTTAGGTTCTTCAGCATAAATACATATATACAAAATATCTTCCACTGATAATATTAGTTATACTACGCTAGACGCATTTTGTTGGATGTATAACTTTATTAATGTCATCGGTGCTAAATAAATATAAATGTAAAAAAAGTGTATATGTTCATATTGACCTGTGATTCCCTTGTCGATTCTTTTTATAAATTCCTTATTTAGTTATGTCACTTACAGGTTCCGGATTAAATTGTGTGATAAAACACAACATTCACAGTCCCCCACCCGAGTAATAGTATTATCACACGATAAACCGACATTAAGTTAATTTCGGAGAGTTCAGCAGTTTTTTCATCTGTATCAATGAGTGGCAGTGTAAAAATGTCAGCGTTAACACCAGAATCTGGTGCAGGTCATATCAACACAATTCGTATCATTTATTGCGCCCTCTTCATTTTCTTCACGGAAATCTGGTTAGCTCATTCTTTGTACAAACTGATTACCTTTGAAGTCCACAATGACTACGTGGCTAAACAAGATTTCCGGGTACACTTCTTGAATGAATTCCAAAATGAAGACATCAGAGACGAAATCATTGCAATGGTTTCAGTCAGGAACAAGCGAGACACAAACAATACCAAAAGTCATCTTAACATTTCGGTATGTCATAGTTTTTTATATTTATATGTTGATATTATTTAATGTACTGCAAACTTGAAATATCTTATTGGAAAGTGACCCTGATGACCGTGTCAAACTGATTTGTTGTTTTATGTGAAAGTGATACTAGATTATATTTTGTGAAGTATAATCTATAAACATAGAGTAAATACAGTATATAGTGTGAAATTGAATTGTTATGATGATATTAAAAGTCAATTTTTTATGTCTTAAATATTACAGGAAGACAATCTCGAAGAAAGCTGCAAGGAGTTCTACCACTTTTGTCCCTCAGGACCACAAGGTCTGGTGGGAATATCGGGCCAAAAAGGAGAACCGGGTTTTCCAGGATCAGTGGGTGAAAAAGGAGAACCAGGTGATGAAGGTGAGAACATTTGGTTGTTAATGCAAGGATATACATATATGGGTACTTTTATGAAACTCGGGTAACTTTACCCGATTACCCATATGTAAACCTGATTAAATCGCTAATTTCTTAATTCAGGAAACACATTTGGTTTTACTGATAGTTTAAAAGGCGAAAAAGGAGAACGGGGTGACACAGGATATTCGGTTCCGAACGGACACCTGGAAGTTTCCGGACCACAGTGTCAAAAAGGAGAGCCAGGTATTCCAGGAATAGCAGGAGTCAGAGGAGTTCAAGGGCCTCCAGGTGTTCCAGGTAGACAAGGTAAGAATATAAACTGCCACAATGACGAGTTGTAAAACAAATTTTGTTTCAGGATTACCAGGACCTGCTGGAAGTCCAGGTTATCCAGGTTCACTTGGAAGACCAGGAATAAAAGGTGAACAAATCTGACAATAAAAAAATAGTAAGGATGAAATGTATAACTAATTAATAGAGTTTTATTGTTTGTTTAGGCCTAAGCGGACCACCCGGACTACAAGGACCTCCAGCTGCTTCATGTTTACAAGCACCTCTTTGAGCAAAATGTATAGTGATAATCTCTTGGATTTACTATCAATTATTATTAACAATAAAATAAAAAATATTAATAAGATAGTTTATATATACAAAACTCACTTGACATACACCTTATGACTTAAGCGGCTTAGAAGGTGTATATCAAGTGAGTTTTGTATATGTTCCCCATTTTTATACCTATATCCATTCTTCATCATAACCATCAAAAAACGAATTTAGAAAAAATTCAACGGAAGTTTTTGAAAGTGATAGTCCGTAAAAGATGACCACAAAGAGGCAGTACGAGGGCAGAATATTGCACACACGCATAATTAACTAGCCATCGAGTGAAAGTTGAGAGAACCTCAACGGAGGGTTTTCCGTCCACAGTATAACGACGGTGGCTTGAGGAAGTTCTTCGGCTTGGGGTAAGCATTGTTGAAACTCAAGATTGCAGAATAGCATAGTTTAGACACTTTATCGCATAATTCATGAATGTGAAACGACTGTCCATTATAAGTATCGCCATTTTTGTTTTTGCATATTTATAGATATTTTAATTGCCAATTTTTAGTGATAAGGCACTTTAGATTATTAAATGTAAACTCGCAGCTCCTCCCAGGCGCGCGCCATCAAGTCTTGCGTACAACACACACTTTTAAAGTTCTGTGCTAGTGCAACTGTTGAATTTCGACTTTTTTTCGAGACAAAGTGAGAATGTCGATGCTAAAACCAAAATCCACCACCCCCAGTACTCTAATCTACCGTCATCCTTGTATAACTGGTGTGGTCTGCTGTGTTGTTTTCATTTTTCTCATAGAAATTTGCCTGCCCTATTGCTTCTACAGACTGCTTAAATCCGAAATACAAAATGATTACGTGGCCAAACAAGACTTCCGTCCATACTTCCGAAATAAATTTCGGAGTGAAGATATCAGAGAAGAAATGATTCGTATTTTGCGGGAATGTGAAAATTACATGATTTCGACCAGGAACAAACGAAGTACAAACGACACAGAAAACCAATTCCCTATTTCGGTATGTTAGATGTTTTATTAACAACAAACATGAAATAATTTCTCACTAAATGATGCTGGTGACCCTGTTGTGCGTTTTAAATAAGTATAATTTTCACAGCGTAGGATAAATGTATTTATTTTGAAATTTTGGAATCATTGATCTGTGAATTTGAATCTGACCAGGTCTTCCCCAACCGCTATCCTGGATTATATAACGCGAGTCCTCCGTCGAAGGTCAGACCGATCTTTTTTTATCTTATCGTTCCCGGTCACGTCTTAAGCTATCGCTAGGGAGAGAGTAAAAGTTATCACTTTTAATCCGCTTTTAGTGTACCAACTATTAATTATTATTAATGTGCTGATTATTTTCTTTCAATTTCACCTTTATAACTTGTAGTGAAGATGCAGCTTTGGCTGCCAAAAGCTTTTTTTACACACTTTCAACCTAAAACGTTTGCACGATTTATTGAGAAATTTACAAGGAAGAAAAGAAATGGATTTCAAAGCCCAAATTGAGTAAGTGAAGACAGACACCACGAGGTTTTAGACTTGAAAGGAGGCTAAACCTGCAAAAATAAGGTGGCAGGGTACTCGATTGTCCTACACAGCATACGTAATTTAGTCGTTTTTATTACACATAGAATATAGTTGTATTAAATGTTACAGGAAAAAGTGCGCGACGACTATTGCAAGAAGATCCATCGGTTCTGTCCTTCAGGACAACTAGGGATGCCCGGCTTACAAGGTATAAAAGGTGAACCAGGATATCCAGGCTTACGAGGACAGAAAGGCGATCCACCAGTTGTTGCTCTAGGTGAGAAAAAACTCCTGATATGTTACATTGGGTTAAATTATAACCATCGTCGGACATTACGCAAATATCTACACTGACTAATATCATCATTCAGCTGAGGCAGGTGTGCATGGAAGGTATCCTTTCAATGGACAAAAAGGAGACAAAGGAGATCCAGGCTATCCAGGAACGCACTGCCAAGACGGTGAGCCAGGTCCTCCAGGAGTACCAGGTCCGAGAGGATTACCAGGACTTCCAGGCTATGCAGGTATATAACTTTCCCTTTTTAATTAAGAAATAAACAGCTCAACCTTCCATTTTCCATTTTTACTTTAGGAGTTCCAGGCATGTCTGGTTTACGAGGAGTTCCAGGCATGGTGGGACTAGAAGGAATACCAGGACAGAAAGGTGACCAAGGTAATAACAAAAATTTATCGTTGTTATACAATGTTATCGATGTTAAGTCGTTGACGAAATTATTTAAGCTTATGTTGCAAATCCTCTTCAAAGGGGTTAAGGAAAGGGCCCAGGCATGCAAGGAGATAACGAGTTGCCCTTTATGCTATTGGAAAAATTGACCGTTAAATTGAAAAACAAAATTTCGCATCTTCCAAAGCAATGACTTTAATGTAACTAATGAAATCTAGGGAATTTTTAATTTAAAATTAATAGTCCCCATATATTTAATTTTAAATTATACGGGTTGTCATAAAAGAAAAATAAAATTCACAAAATGAAGTTTAATATTTTGGCTTTGTTTGATTGTACTTCTGTCTAAATAACCTTATTGTTTTTTATTTCGATGTTTAGGTCCACCCGGGTTGCCAGGCACTTCATGTCCACAAGGTTCTTTAGGGTCCACTCCATCATAAAGGCCACGGTTTGGATTATTAACATAAAAACAACGCTGTAAAATTTTACTGGTTAAAATAAAACTCATGTTACATAACTGCGTACAGAATTATTTTCACAACTTATGTAAGTTTGTGATTTATAAAGTCGTCGCTGACGTTGCCGTTCGCCGTTGACATTGCGTTGTAAGATTAGGCTCCGCCCCTCGGTCTGACAACGAATGAAAATTTCATCACAACTGAGATCGACACGGATAGGTGGGGCTTCTCTTTTGGTTTTCTTTTTTAATTAATACATTTAGTTTTCTTTGTATGACACGATTACTTAAGAACATATTTCACATGGTAATTTCTCCTAGAATAATAAAGATTTTACAAGCTCCGCCTCTCGGATGACGACGAATACAAAATATCATCAGAATTGAGAGAGGGCGGGTGGGCGGGGCTTATATTTTGTCGTTGTTTTCTGAATATACATCGCCATCTTTCACAACAAGAAACTGAAACCATGGTTAAAATGGTACATCGATAGTTTCTTATACGAATTTTAAACATGTGTTAAGTTTCAGGTTGTAAAAATAAGTCTATACATTTTCAAACAAAAAGACAAAATATAAGCCCGCCCACCCCCCCTGTCTCAATTGTGATGATTTTTTTTATTCGCCGTGAAGCAAGGGGGCGGAGCTTAACTGCAAAATACTTATTTTGTTTACAAGAAATTAAAAACATGTTTTTGAGTATCGTGTTGTTCAAAGAATTCTATGTATATTAAGAAAAAAAGGCAAAATGTAAACCCCGTCCACCCATCCCATCTCAATTGTGGTGATTTTTTTATTTTTACTTCCCGAGCGTAAGCAAAGGAAGTATTGTAATCGAGTCCGTCGGCCGACTCTCTACTTTTACGTTTTCTCGATCTTTCATGACCCCTAGAAGACGAAGAAATAGGTCTCCCATTTCCGTCTGTCTGTCCGTCTGTCCGTCCGTCTGTCCGTCTGTCCGTCTGTCCGTCTGTTGTCCCGGATTTTTATTAGACAGATAATCTCCGAAAGTACTCGACCGATTGTTGTGAAATTTTGTACTTATATTAAGAATATCATGTAGATGGTAAAACGCTAACCAAAATTTGTCTAATCATCCCCACCACTAATGCGATGACGTCACTTCAAAATTGTACATAGTAAATGGGTTTTCAATTGTATAAAATAACATAGTCCTACACATGTAGTTTACAACTCTGAATCGACTTTTCACCCGAAACGTCCAGATTTTTGTAAAAAAAAATCAAAATTATAAAACAACATTTTGAAATTTATTTTTAATCTGCTAACCAGAATGCTTTGAAATGTTGCAGATGTTTTAAGGTTATAAAGAGCATCATAAATCTTTAGTCAAAAAATATTTGCTTATCCCCTCCAAAAACTTGATGACGTCAGCTCAAAAGTTTGTGGAATAAATCATATCTAAAATGTACAAAATATGATGAGTCTGTACTTGTGATCTATCACTCCATTCATATTTTTTGGATTTGCATATACAGGGTGACTCAAAAAAATTAATGAATGCGTAAATATATTTTATTGATTTAATCAGGAACTACAAAACCGAATGCTCTCAAATCTTGCAGATGTTTTAAGGTCATAAAGAGCATAATAAATGTTTAGTCAAAATATATTTGCTTATCCCCTCCAAAAACTTGATGACGTCAGCTCGAAAGTTTGCCGAATAAATCATATCTAAAATGTACAAAATATGATGAGTCTGTACTTGTCATTTATCACTCCATTCATATTTTTTGGTTTGCATATACAGAGTGACTCAAAAAAATTAATGAATGCGTAAATATATTTTATTGATTTAATCAGGAACTACAAAACGGAATGCTCTGACATCTTGCAGATGTTTTAAGGTTATAAAGAGCATAATAAATGTTTAGTCAAAATATATTTGCTTATCCCCTCCAAAAGCTTGATGACGTCAGCTCGAAAATTTGCCGAATAAATCATATCTAAAATGTACAAAATATGATCAGTCTGTACTTGTGATCTATCACTCCATTCATATTTTTTGGATTTGAATATACAGGGTGATTCAAGAAAATAAATTAAAGCGTAAATTTATTTTACTGATTTACTCAGGAACTACAAAACCGAATGCTTCGAAATCTTGAAGATATTTTAAAATTATCATAAGCATGGTAAATTTTTGATCAAAATGTATTTGGTCGTCCTCCCTAAAAAATTTATGACGTCACCACAAAATTTTGCTGAATAAATCCTATCTAAAATGTACAAAATATGGTGAGTCTCTTCTTGTGATTTATTATTCCATTCAAATTTTTTCGATTTGCATATACAGGGTGACTCAAAAAAATTAATGAATGCGTAAATTTATTTTATTGATTTAATCTGGAACTACAAAACCGAATGCTTTGAAATCTTGAAGATGTTTTAAGGTTATAAACAGCATAATAAATTTTTAGTCAAAATATATTTGGTTATCTTCTACAAAAAACTGATGACGTTAGCTCAAAAGTTTGCCGAATAAATCGTATCTAAAATGTACAAAATATGATGAGTCTGTACTTGTGATTTATCATTCCATTCATATTTTTGGATTTGCATATGCAGGGTGACTCAAAAAAATTAATGAAGGCGTGAATTTATTTTATCGATTTAATTAGGAATTACAAAACCGAATGCTTTGAAATCTTGGGAATATTTTAAAGTTATTATAAGCATGGTAAACTTTTGTTCAAAATGTATTTGTTCATCCCTCCTAAAAAATTGATGACGTCACCCTTAAATTTTGCTGCATAAATCCTATCTAAAATGCAAAAAATATGATGAGTTTGTACTTGTGATTTATCATTCCATTCATATTTTTTAGATTTTCTTAAGAGGTGGTTCAAAAAAATTAATGAAGTCAATTTATTTTATTGATTAAATTAAAGGCAACACTTAGGGCCGGTTGTATAAACGCAAATCAAATTTAATCTCTGATTAACTCCACAGCAACGATTGTTATTATCATAGTTACAATTGTTCTTAATCAGAGATTAAATTTGATTTGCGTTTATGCAACCGGCCCTTATTATTAGTATTACACCTCAACCAACCCAATTTGGTAGACACAAAATTTGTTAAAGGAAAAACTCGGTTGAAACATAAGGGTAGCACGCTTATTTACATCGACTTTAACATTACAGACCTGCATTTGTTTTATGCGATCACTTGGTTCCGCGAATGTGAAATAGACATGTTTATAATCAACCAATTGTGAATTTCACCGTCAAGAATTAAAATAAAACCCAATGTTTTATATAATAAGCGGAAGTCGAAGCAATAAAACCGATGGTCGTTTTGTTTACAGTTTCTCTGTTTGACTCACACGTATGCTGTTACGCTTGTCATCTTAAATTAAGATTGTTTATACATAAACGATTTTCAGTTGCCGTATACGTGAGTAAATTGTTTCGTTATTTTATTGATTATAAAAAATCAATATTTAAAACGACCCAATTCATTTTCCCGAAAATTTGGGAATACAATAATTTTATTCTTAGTATTACACTACATCTATCCCAACTGATATACGTGTCCTTGCAAAAATGTTGACGTCATCGCAATTTTTTTTAAATTCCCACTACAAAAATGTAATGAGAAAAAAACACAATAGCCATGCAGTCGTCAAGTTTCCGACAGCGAGGGAAGTACTGTCTAAACTCTTTAGACCAATTTTTAGAAACTTAAAACACGTTTAAAATGGTGAATTTTTGTCAAGAAATATGGATTTTGCAATTAGGCTCCGCCTCTAGGTCTGCCAACAAATGAAAACTTCATTACTATTTAGATCAGGGCAAGTAGGTATAGGTGGGGCTTAATCTTTGACTTTAATTTTTTCTTAATATATGTACATAGTATTTTTTGAATAACACGATACTCAAAAACATGTCAGGATTTGCAGTTAAATTTCGCTCCCTCGGCTCTCGACGATTAAAAAAAAATCATCACAATTGCGATAGGGCGGGTGGGCGGGCCTTATATTTTGCCTCTTTTTTCTTAATATACGTAGTCGTCTTTTCAGAACAAGAAACTTAAAACATGTTTAAAATGGTAGAGCACTTCTGGACCCATTCGCGACTTCCGCTTCCAGGCTTTTCTCCGGCCGGCGTCAACAATGAGTCATCATTGCATCATACGAGAACCCATATAATAATTGCTATATAATAACATACTATGGTATTTTTAAGAAAACAATCTGAAATGGTGAAAATCTTAATTTAAAATCATTTCCTAGTTATCTAAATTCAGCGAATTGTAGTCAAACTGTCCCACTCGTCGAGGTGGAATTACCCAAAAAACAAGCCGGCCAATTTGTGTAATTATTACAACATGAATTATTTATGTCAGATATTCATGATTTTTGCGATGTAGGGTTGGCTAGGAAAATCTAATAAGTTTATTGGTACAGAATAATCAAAATCATAAGGCTGGTAAAAAGTATCTACCTCATCAATAAATTAGTACATACAAAATATTTATTTTATTCGTCTTCAAAGTGTCAAGATCATGGTGGTGCTTCAGTGATGGCTCTGTAGACGTCATAATAATGATATGAACACCATAAAAACCTGTTGCTGCAAAGAGATGATCCGTAGGCTGGGTCTGAAATTGAAAATGAGCATTCCCAGTATTCGAATCCTTGAAGTGCTGCGACGTACAATCCTAAGAGAACAGTTAAATTGAGAAGTTGTGTTGCTTGTTTAAAATTATTGCCTAACGTACTCAGTATTGGTTCTGGTATTGAAGTATAGTAAACTAAGATTTGTCAACTACATACATCGGTAAGTGCCAGTCTTAAAAAAACTAATGGGGTTGCTAGAGGTAATTTCACACCTTCACTAACATTTTTGAATTGCCGCCTTTTACGTCATTCAGACTGAAGGTCGCTGAAAATCATGCCAAGTGTTGTGACCTTACAAAACAGAGGTGAAGGTGGTATAGACGAAGATACAAGAAATGTGTAAAATCCACTTCGGAAGTCAGCCATGCACTTCACAAAAACTAACAACTGGTAGTGTAGATGTTTTCAAAACAGTTTAACTGTTCTACAGTTTAAAGCACCAAGTGTAGTACCAGAGGTACTTATAAAAATTGCAGTTATTTCCGGGTCTTTATGCGAAATATGCTTTTGCCGCGCATAATACTGCATAGCTATTGTGTGGGTACGACCATATGTGGATTTTCCACAAGAATTTCATCCTGTCTAGGTGATCTTAACCGGTTTGTTTAAAACAAAAACACAACTAAAGAAACCAAACAGAGATTAGTAAGTACGCAAAGTTCTCGCGTGGGTGAAAGAGGCACCATCAAGAATAGAAAAATTGGTGTACGGTTATTTAAACAGAACTTCTCTCGCCACTTTTATTTCTTAATCAGTTTTCTTTAATATTTATTGTTTACACTCCATTTATTATTACAGATAATGTTCCGAAAGGTGTCCATCTTTCTAATGCTCCTCCTTCCAAATGCCATACTACCAAGAGGTTGTGACAGCAGCGTAAGTGTGCTAGAAAACACTATTTTTTCTATGACTTTAACAAAATTGAAGTTCGTTTAAAAGTACAAACAAGTAGTAGTGGTAGAAAAAATATGGTGTACAATTCATACAATAATAAATGCATTTGTACCCTACTCATACCTACAATTACAGACGTCCCTTATTGAACTTGAAGTTTTAATAGAAATTCGTAGCGACTTGAGTACCCTAAACGAACGAATGAATTACGTGCAAGATAAAGTAGAAGATATGGAAACGAATTTAAAAAATAAACTAACTCAAGTCGACTCAAAAATAGACAACAATATTAAATCAGTTGCAGGAAATATAAAATCACTACAGACAGAATATCAAAAAGTCAAAACCATTTTAGAAAACAAATTTAATATGCCTGATTCTGGTACTAACAACGGCATTAAAGAAGAGTTAACACAAGTGAAACAATTAATAATGGACGAAATAAAAAAACAGCCAGTAGACGACAGACTCAACGATATTAAACAAACATTACTAAACGTTGAAAATAAGTTGATTAAAAAACGCACTCTGGACGACGAGATTCGTATCTTTAAGACCCAATTAAAACAAGACACGGATAATTTCACCATTGAAGTCCATGGATGTAAGAGTTTGCCCAGGGACTGCAAAGATGTTCAAGAAAGAGGTTACAGCGAATCTGGAATCTATCGCATTCAGCCCAAGCTATCAAGTGATTCTTTCTTGGTCTGGTGCGACATGGTGACTCGAGATGGTGGATGGGTTTCAGTTCTAAACAGAGTTGATGGAACCCAAAACTTTTATTTAAACTGGACTGACTACAAAAACGGGTTTGGATCTCTTGCGGGAGAACATTGGTTAGGTTTGGATCACTTATACGAGTTAACGAGTAAGTTTCTTCTTAGTGTCGATTACATTTATTAAACATTTTTGTTGCAGATAGCCACAAAAATGAATTGTTATTTGAGTTGGTGGACTGGGACTTGAAGAACGTTTCCGCGTTGTATGATGATTTTAAAATAGGGAATGAATCCACGGGGTATATTGTAGATAGTGTGGGTGACTACATTGGTGAAGCCGGAGACTCATTCAAATATCATGTTGGTAAAAAATTTAGTACTCCGGATCGAGATCAAGATGAAAATGACGACGCAGAATCGTGTGCGGTTTATTTTCGTAAGTTTTTGGTTAGTTTCCTGTTGAAATAAATACACGGTGGTTTGCAGAGTCTGGTTGGTGGTTTAGGAATTGTTACTACACTCTTTTAACCGGAACTTACGTTAAGCCCAAGCCTGGTGTCAATTATCAGTACAAATCTTCAATCAAGTGGAATGATTTTCATGGTTATAACTACAGTCTCAAGGCAGCAAATATGTTGATTAGACCAATATATGTTTGAAGATGTGATTATTTGATTTGTATGACAACAATAAAAATAAAATTCCTTAATTAGGTACTTAGGTATGTGATCTTAATTAAATGATCTATCTGCATTAACATTTCTAACCGCCCTAAACAAATAAATAGTAACATAAGCTGGTTACTTTCAAAAAACAAAGGTCAATGTATGAAGCTACAACATATTCAATGGTGTGTAGATGCTGTATTTCCGTCTAGGTTAACTTTATTGGTCAAAATTATATACCATCTTTTCCAAAGTTTGCAAAAAGTCTATAAAATAATAGACCCAAAAAAATTTGTAATAACGAATTTACGAAATACTTTTAACACGCACGATAATCCATGACCTTTGCTATATGCTACGTTCGCATGTGGAATTCCCACAAGCATCACATGCCGTCTACTTCTTTTAACCGGTTTAGAGAAAATACAAACAAAACGCAACTGGGTAGTCGAAGCATCGATCAGTAGTGAACAGACAACAACTTGAACAGGTACGTTATTATACGTTCACTTTTATATAGTATTCTTTTCGAAAATTAAAACAAGAGATTCATGATACTGTTTTTCAGTAATAACGTCAGTAAACAGAATAGAGGAATAAAAAGAAATATTTTATGCTTCTTAGAACGCCATGAAAAAAGAGTTTTTTTTATTTTACTTCCGTCCCTTAGTCATCATAGTTTTGTCCTTAATAAATTTTGTTTATTATTACAGACAATGGTTAGAAACAATGTGTCCCTGTTTCTGATGTTCCTTCTTCCAAGTAGTACTCTTCTACAAAGAGGTTGCGACAGCAGCGTAAGTGTAGCAGTTACAGTAAACACAAAATCCTCTCTACGCACAGCATTTTCGAGTTTTTACTTTACACAATTGTGATGACCTGATCAACATTTTTGCAAGGACAAGTGTATGAACTTGGATTAGTGCAGTGTAGTACTGCTAAAATAAATCTGACTGTGGCAAATTACACACCCGCTAAGAAGGGCTGGTGAGCATAGCTAGTATTTATTGAAATAAGAGTGATTTTCGTAAATGACCTATTGCTTGCTTATAAAAAATTCTGAATGAAAAAATTAAACTTAGCCCCACCCACCCACCCGTTCTCTCTTTTTTTTTCTTGAAAAATAAAAAATAAACGTAACAAATAAGTGGTACAACAACAAAAATTACGATTAAGGCTTTTTTTAACAGCCCACGTTCTATTACTTCCCATTCTCACTTTACCAAAGAACATATAACTCACCCCGCCCACCCACCCGGCTTCCATTTCAGTGATTCATTTTGTCTGGTCCGAATAAAAGATGGATCTCAATTGAAGAGAGATAAAATCGTTAGAATGAGAACAGTGTGTTTGGGCGGGTCTAGTATGTGCTAAGATAAGATTGATTTCGGTAAATGACATATTCTCTAAGAAAATAAAGGGTGGGTAGGCGGGGCTAGTACTTACTAAGGTAAGAATGATTTTGGCAAACGACATACCCAATAAGAAAAAGGGGGGGGGGGGGCTAGTACTTGATAAGATAAGATTGATTTTAATAAATGACTGAACAATATTAAGAGTAATCACTGAAATGAAGAGGTAGTGGGCGGGTGGTCCTATTGCTTGGTTATAAAAGATTCTTTATGAAAAAATTAAACTTACCCCGCCCACCCACCCGACCTCCATTTCACTGATTCATTTTGTCCAGTCCGAATAAAAGGTGGGTCTCAATTGAAGAGAGATAAAATCGTTAGAATGAGAACAGTGTGTGGGCGGGTCTAGTATGTGCTAAGATAAGATTGATTTTAGTAAATGACATATTCTCTAAGAAAATAAAGGGTGGGTGGGGGGGGGCTAGTGCTTGGTACGGTAAGAATGATTGTGGCAAACGACATACCCAATAAGAAAAAAGGGGGGTGGGGGGTGGGGCTAGTACTTGATAAGATAAGACTGATTTTGGTAAATGACTGAACAATATTAAGAGTAATCACTGGAATGAAGAGGTAGTGGGTGGGTGGTCCTATTGCTTGCTTAATAAAAGATTCTTTATAAAAAAGTTAAACTTACCCCGCCCACCCACCCGGCCTCCATTTCAGTGATTCATTTTGTTTGGTCCGAATAAAAGATGGATCTCAATTGAAGAGAGATAAAATCGTTACAATGAGAACAGTGTGTGTGGGCGGGTCTAGTATGTGCTAAGATAAGATTGATTTTGTTAAATGACATATTCTCTAAGAAAATAAAGGGTGGGTGGGCGGGGCTAGTACTTGCTAAGGTAAGAATGATTGTGGCAAAAGACATACCCAATAAGAAAAAAGAGGGGTGGGGGGGGGCTAGTACTTGATTAGATAAGACTGATTATGGTAAATGACTGAACAATATTAAGAGTAATCACTGGAATGAAGAGGTAGTGGGTGGGTGGTTCTACTGCTTGCTTATAAAAGATTCTTTATGAACAAGTTAAACTTACCCCGCCCACCCACCTGTCCTCCATTTCAGTGATTCATTTTGTCTGGTCCGAATAAAAGGTGGGTTTCAATTGAAGAGAGATAAAATCGTTAGAATGAGAACAGTGTGTGTGGGCGGGTCTAGTATGTGCTAAGATAAGATTGATTTTGGTGATTGACATATTCTCTAAGAAAATAAAAGGTGGGTAGGAGGAGTTAATACTTGCTAAGATAAGACTCTGATTGTGGCAAACGACATACCCAATAAGAAAAAGGGGGGGGGGGGGGCAGTACTTGATAAGATAAGATTGATTTTGGTAAATGACTGAACAATATTAAGAGTAATCACTGGAATGAAGAGGTAGTGGGTGGGTGGTCCTATTGCTTGCTTATAAAAGATTCTTTATGAAAAAGTTAAACTTACCCCGCCCACCCACCCGGCCTCCATTTCACTGATTCATTTTGTCTGGTCCGAATAAAAGGTGGATCTCAATTGAAGAGAGATAAAATCGTTAGAATGAGAACAGTGTGTGTGGGCGGGTCTAGTATGTGCTAAGATAAGATTGATTTTAGTAAATGACATATTCTCTAAGAAAATAAAGGGTGGGTGGGCGGGGCTAGTACTTGCTAAGGTAAGAATGATTGTGGCAAACGACATACCCAATAAGAAAAAAGGGAGGGGGGCTAGTATTTGATAAGATAAGATTGATTTTGGTAAATGACTGAACAATTTTAAGAGTAATCACTGGAATGAAGAGGTAGTGGGTGGGTGGTCCTATTGTTTGCTTATAAAAGATTCTTTATGAAAAAGTTAAACTTACCCCGCCCACCCACCCGGCCTCCATTTCACTGATTCATTTTGTCCAGTCCGAGTAAAAGATGGGTCTCAATTGAAAAGAGATAAAATCGTTAAAATGAGAACACTGTGTGGGGGCGGGTCTAGTATGTGATAAGATAAGATTGATTTTGGTAAATGACATATTCTCTAAGAAAATAAAGGGTGGGTGGGCGGGGCTAGTACTTGCTAAGGTAAGAATGATTGTGGCAAACGACATACCCAATAAGAAAAAAAAGCGGGGGGGGGGCAGTACTTGATAAGATAAGATTGATTTTAGTAAATGACTGAACAATATTAAGAATAATCACTGGAATGAAGAGGGGGTGGGTGGGTGGTCCCAATGCTTGCTTATAAAAGATTCTTTATGAAAAAGTTAAACTTAGCCCCACCCACCCATCCGTTCTTTTATTTTTTTTTTATATTATAGATATATTTTTATTAACAATTTACCACGCTTACAATAACTATAAAACGTCTGCAAGATTTCAAAGTATTCAGTTTTGCAGTTCTTGATTTAATCAATGAAATAAATTGACTGACATTAATTTTTTTGAGACAGCTTGTATAAGTAAATGCACAAAATATGAATGGAATATTGAATCACAAGTTTCTTACGCTCAGGAAGTAAAAAACGTAAAAACTAAGTTGTGTCTTTGTCCTAAAATACAAAATAATTAGTATGCTTACCTACTGTAAAAAAATAACTCCAGCGTCGTAGAAAAAATATAGTGTGAAATCTGTACAATAACAACGGCATCTCCGCCTACTTGGATAATATATTTTCCTAATTGCAGACGTCTATTGTTGAACTTGAGGTGTTGATAGAAGTTCGTAGTGCATTGAGTACATTAAACGAGCGCATGAATTATCTGCAGGATAAAGTAGAAGACATGGCAACAAGTTTACAAAATAAACTGACTACAGTCGACTCAAAAGTTGAAAAAAATATCAAAGCAGTGACAGAAAATATAAAATCACTTCAAACTGAATATCAAAAAGTCAACAAAGTTGTCGAAAATAAATTTAATATGCAGGATTCTGAGTCCAATAGTGGCATTAAAGAAGAGTTAAAGCAAGTGAAAGATTTAATAACGAACCAAATCGAAAAGCAAACGCTGCACGGGAAGCTCAACGACATTAAAGATAAATTACTAAACGTTGAAAAGCAGTTGAATAACAAACGAACTCTGGATGAAGAAGTTCACTTCTTTAAAAGTCAATTGAAAGACAAGACAGATAATTTCACCATCGAAATCCATGAGTGTAAACATTTACCAGGAGACTGCAAAGACGTCCAAGAAAGAGGTTACAAGGAATCTGGAATTTATCGCATTCAGCCTAGACTATCCAATGATTCTTTTTTGGTTTGGTGCGATATGATGACACGAGGTGGTGGATGGGTTTCAGTTTTAAAGAGAGTTGATGGATCCCAAGACTTCTATTTAAATTGGAATGAGTACAAAAACGGGTTTGGATCTCTCCCAGGGGAACATTGGGTAGGTCTGGATCACTTATCCGAGTTAACGAGTAAGTTTTTGCACTGTCTGTTACATTTATACATTTTCTTCATAATGCAGATAGCCAACGCAATGAACTGTTAGTTGAACTGGTCGATTGGGACTTGAAGAACGTTTCCGCTCTTTACGATTCTTTTATAGTTGGGAATGAATCTACGGGGTATGTTTTAGAGAGTCTGGGTGACTACACTGGCGATGCTGGAGACTCAATGGCAAATCATCTTGGTAAAAAATTTAGTACTCTCGATCGAGATCAAGATGAGAATGCCGACAAGGAATCATGCTCCGTTTTTTTTCGTAAGTTCTTGTTCAGTTTCGTTCATAAGTAAACATATGTCTTGTAGAAGCTGGATGGTGGTTTAAGAACTGTTACTTCACGCTTTTAACCGGACGCTACGTTAAGCCCAAACCAGGTGTTAATTATCAGTATAAATCTACTATAAAGTGGAAGGATTTTCATGGATATAACTACAGCCTTAAGGCAGCAACTATGCTGATTAGACCAATATATGTATAATTATAAATTAGATAAAAAAAAATAATAATGGACAGTTACGTCCTTTTTACTACTTAGTACATACTATGAAGGAATTGACGAGTTTGTCCAAAAAACTATTTATATTTTATTCTCCCTGATGAGGAAACGAGGGGGTTTCCATTTAAATAATTTTATAGACTTATTAATTTTATACAATCATTGACTTTTTAAACTTTGCTTAAATCTTAATACCTTTTTATATTACGTCTACTAAACTCCAAAGAAATGGTAAATTAGGACAATGAAGACAATAATAAAAAATACAAAATAAGTTATTTATTTATAATTTGTAAAGAAATTTCACGCAACATGTAATATAAAACATTACACAATAATATATACAAAAACGTCCCTTAGAGATTCAATTTTATACAATTACTCAGTAATTATGCCAGCCTCAGCCCACTCAACCAATGAGATCAAAATAAATAATTGCATCCAAAGTATCACATTTCTTTGCAACTTTTTCTCTTTCCTCACTACCTTTTCGGCTTAAACCTCGACATGTAAAACTCACAGTCTGTACAATACAAATTCGAGGAAACTACCGCCTTCTTCCTGCACAAATTACACTTCGTTTTTCCACTTGGCACGCTATTATTGGCGTTGTTTACAATAATGGGCGTAACGACCGCCTTTGGAGTGGGGGATTCGGCACCGCCTTTCGTCCCCGGCTCGAAACTGACAGTTTTCTTCAACAATTGTTTCGGAGGAAGGACATGTTGATACGGTGAATATTTCTGCTGGTAGTTGATTGGTTCTTCCATGTGAGGAGGGGGAACCCGGGCCTCTTGATAATAATGATTAGAAACGGGTTGATAGGGGGAGTAGTTAGTGGGCGGTTCGCATTCTGGAGGCGTAGCTCTGTAGTTCTGTCGCGCGTACAAATTTTGTTGGTAGGAGTGGTTAGAAGGCGACGGGGATGGCGGGTGTTGGTAAACGGGATACTGGTGAAGATTAGGAGACTGTCGGATTGGTGGATAAGTGGGGTTGTATTCTTGAGGGGGGTAGTAAGTGGGTGTGGTTTGAGGTCTGTATTGTTGAGGCGGAGGTGCGTAATTTTGAGGATAGTTTTGCGGTGGAACGGGGTTGTAGGGGTAAGTGGGGACTCGTTGATAGGGGGACTGGCGGTAGAGAGTTTGTGGACTTGTACCGTACAACTGGCGGTCGTAACCATTGTAAGTTTCGGGCTCTGGAAGTGGTGAGCTTTGCTTGAGAAGATTATCAACTGAGTTTCTCCGAACATACAAAGGATAGGGGGCATATTCGTCTACTGTGTCATTGAGAGGTATTTCGGGGGCGACCTCTTGCCTCAAAGTTCGAATTTCTTGCCTAATAGCAGCTGTTTCTGGTTTGTTCATCGCTGATCGCAGAACTCGTTCAAGAATGGGGTTAGGAATATAACTATCATCTTCCTGTTCTTCGGCAGTGGCTACTAAAATTACTTGATCGCAAAACGACACACTCTTCTTCTTTCCTAATTTCGTTTTCTTGTTCTCTTCTTCTTTTCCGTCTTCAATTTCAGGTACTACACTTTCCTCGTCTCTTTTCTTCGTGGGGACAGTTCGGGCTATGTTCTCAACCGGTTGTACTTGTATGCTTTCAAATTTCGTCGCCAAATCTTTAACCGAAGTCACCTTACTCTCATCATGCGGATACTTCTGTTCCACATTTTGAACCTCCGTCTGTTTTTTCATACGCAACGCTGCTTGCTTCGCTTGCAGTTCCTTCAACCAGGTATCACCTGATGATTTTAGAGGTTCTAACTTAACCTCAGACTCCTGGGCTAGTATTTCCAGACGTTTATTTTGTAGTTGTGCCAATAGACTCCCCGGTGACGGGGTCGGCGGCGGCGACGGTTCCTTGAGATGTTCGTCTAGCGCTGACAAATCTAGTGGGGGCGGTGGAGGCGGAAACTCCTCACTCGCCTGTCGCGAATGGATTGCAGACCCTAACGGACTCGGATACGGCGGTAGTTCCAAATGTGAAGGCGCACAATCAACTTCGTCAACATCCAACTGCTTCGTACGATCTTCTTCCTGGTGAACATCTGCTCGAGTCACCACCATGTTCGAACTCGGGGTATGGTACATCAAATGGTCGGGGTAAGAGTAGGGTAGAGAAACTGGCGTCACATTGTAGTAGTGCCCAGGAAATTGCAACCTCTCGCCCTTGTCGAAACTTTCATTCAACTTAGCACTACTAAGCTGCGAAGTGGTACGGAGCGGCGGAGGTGGCGGTACTTTCGCAGCTGTCAAAATCTTCCCAGCACTACCATGGAAGCTTTTCCGCATCAACTTGCTTCGTTCCAAGTTTGGATTCGTACTCCCTGTGAACTCCAAGTGACCTTCTGACAAGTACCCACACATCGTGGACGCAGTTTCCGCCCCCTTCAGCCCCACGGAGCTGTCATCCACGCTCGAACTCGGTTTTTCGTTGTCACCGTTCGTGTCGGTCAAATCCGGCATACTTCTATTCTTGCGCTTGATCAAGCCCCCCATGAGAAGTTTGCGTCGGATCTTGTGCTGCTTCTTTGATTTGGTGTCGTCTTTACTCTTTTCTTTCTTAAGAGTGTCTTTCCCGGCTACGATTTCCGGCGCAATTGAAAAATCTCGTGTGATTTTGTTGCGGTCTTCACTCCGGGAGCGTTTTTCGCGGACTTTCACCTCTTTGTTTTTCGAACGAGAGAAGATACTTCGAGATTCGCGACCCGGGGGTTTATCGTAGAGAACATAGTCTTCGTCTTCGTCGATATTCACGATTTTTTTCAAGCTGTCTTTTTTCTTCGGGAGGGTTGCGTAGATTTCTATGTTTTTACTGGGAGGTTTGTCTGGAGGAGGAGCCAACAATTCTTTACTGTTCTGTCTGGAGTGAACTCCTTTCTCTCTAGATCCTTGTCGGGAATGCTTTCCTCCACTCCCACTGCTCCCTTCTCTCGTGTGCCTGATTTCCGGGACGTCTTTGGACACGTTTTGGGAGTTTTGTGTCATCCGTCGGTGCAGACTTCGAGCCCGCATAATACACGTGTTGTGTTTCATACGTGCCAAAGTCAACGTCTGGGGGTTGTTGTAAGGGGCGTCCATTGCAGCACGGGCCTTCGTAGCGGCAGCGTTACATAAAGCGAGTGCTAGGACGAGATCATGGTCGTCTTCCAGTTGTCTCGATTTGACCAAAAGCTCGTCAGCTTCGTCACACAAGACGTCGCAACTTTGGGAAATTTGGCTCTGGTTGTAATCTTCTGGAATTTTGGCCAAATGTCCCATTTTCATGAGATGCTGGATGGTGGTCATCGTGGAACTATCGTTAGATGAAAGCGAGTACGAATCGTACCCTACGTCGTAAACACCGCTGCTGTTACTACTGGAGGATTCGTTGCGTGGAGGGACCGTCGTTGGGTCTTGGGGAACTTTTCCAACTAGATACAAATAAGGATTCTCCATGGTTGTGGACGACGACGACGAAGCGCTGTTGCGGTCACTGCTCCAGTTGCCAGAATCGCGAGTTCTGGGAATGTTGGGGTAGTCACGAAAGAGACCCTCGGTACCGGATGAAGAACCATTACTTAGAGTCCTGTGGATGTTTAAAGGTTTCTGTTCCAGCGACTTCCTGGTGATGTATTCGGGGTCTTTGCGTGGCGGAATGTCGCCATCTACTACGTCAACCCCACGATAAAGATTGCTTTGTATGACGGACAGATTTTGGTACTCGTTGTAGGGCCGTGGCAGCGGCGGCTTCTGGTTCGTACTTCCCGTACCATCTGGGTTTGGAGTAATCGCCCGTCGTGTATTCCCGATGTTGGGTTTCTCAGGACTAGGCGTAACCGACCTCCGCAGAACCGCCTGTGAAGGGGTACCACTTTTCTTTTTGTCATAAAACGGTACCACTTGCTTAGGTGCATTGTCGGTATTTACGGGTGTGCCATCCGGCAAAGCATACAGTAGAAGAAGAGGTTGGTACCTCCCTTTCCTACACTTTTCGACGACTTGGTCCCACCGTGGTCCCACTTCTCGTACCGTAGCATCATCAAAATAAATCCATACGCGTAGCTTCGTATGAAAGAAAAAAGTCGAGTAGTGTTTGCCGTAGTAAGTCACCACTCCGACTAGATTATGAATGCACGTTTCGGCCCATCGACTATCCACCACGGTGTTGAAGACTTCGCTAAGACGCAACGTGGTACCAATGGATGAAAAAACCTCCATTATGTGTTCGAGAGTAGGACGTTCCGAATTCCACACTAAGCCCACAGAAACGATTTCGGGACGGTTCATCAAGGTACGTGTGATTTGAATGACGGCGCCGCAGTTACTCTGAAAAGTGATGAGTTAGGGTTTGTGAACTACAAAGTGTGTGAAGTAGTACCGGACAGACGCGGACGTCGCCCATGCTTCCGGCTTTGCGAAGGAGTTGACCAAATGGCTCGATTATACCTTGGGGACGGGTCGTGCGCACTTGGTAGACAAGGGTGGAAGTGGAAACGTAATGCACCATCTGGAATAAATCAAAATTTATCAGATATAGAACATTTGGAAATCAGTTGCGCGTTTATTCTTTCTTTAGGTCAGAAACAGAACACAGGACCCAAGTAAAAGAGATCACAGATTATATAACCACGTGTAAAAAAAAACAAAACAATATAGAGAAAGAAACTGTGGTGATACAATAATAAGTAGTAGTAAGCGAAGAAGGATAAGCCGCTCTGTAGTCTAGTGGTCAGGGCACCCGCCCGGCAGCGGGAAACGTGTGGTTCGATTCCCAGCAGCATTTTCCTTCGCTTACCTACAAAACCATTAATAAAATATAATGAGGTCAGATTAGGTCAATCACAAACAATAGGCAAAAAGAATGCGAAAGTATAAAAAGACTAAATAAAATGTGTAAAAAAAAATACGGAAACAAAAGGAAGGCATTGTAAACAGTATTGCTTAAGCTTAGCTCACTGCGCACGCTACAGGAACAAGGTGATCATTATTTACAACATTAAGCATATTCGTTTAAATTGAGAAAAATCTTTTCTGCGAAGTCGCACCAATACAACAATATTTAATTATACTAAGCAATTAAGATGATGTAACCTTCTCCGAAGGAATGTACATTAAATAATACCCTTAGGGGTCTCCGTTCTAACCTTCATTTTAGCTTTCCACTCATTACGTACCTGCGTATAAGACAGGGGCTCTGAAGTGGCCCCACACGAGTTGCAAACGCTTTGTTCCACTAGTGTCATGGCAAATTTCTGATGGGGTATGCAATGGCGGGCATTACACATATCCTCGGCTTCGCCTTGGGCGATGTGCATGTGGATTCTGAGCAGCATATTCTCGAAACATTCTGCCGCATCGTCCATAAAACCCAACTGGAACCGCTGTTGGTCGAAGAAACTTTCGGCAAGGGCACGCCGCAAGGCGTCTGGAGGAAGCGCGGTTTCATTGGAGAACTGGAGTTGAGAAAAAAGCTCCTGAAAGAAAAGTATCATTAAGTAAAACTAAACCATAATAAGGTTATCGAGTTGAAATTAAATGGATCACGAGGTCTCGTGTGGTGCTGAAGGGGAAGTGAAAGGAACTTTTTCGCTTTAAAAAGAGTGATCTATTTCGAGTTACATGTGCCAGAAGTGCCCATTATCAATTATGACGCAACGTCCAGGAGCTGTGAAGGAAATCCTGATTACACATTTTGCGGACTAAAAATTAACCATGTTCGTTGGTGCGAATATCGAGTAGGAAGCCAATAAAACCCGATAAACCTAACAAACAATACATAATTATTAATCCTATCAAGAGGATAAAAATGAGTCACCAATCCATATGTTACATTTTTCTCTTATCAACAACACTGCCAAAATCCAATCTCAGGAAATACCAGCATCGATGATTCAACCAGCAACCATCGACCACCATGGTTCTAAGAAACACGAAGATCGTGACCCGCCACGAAATGCCACGGGTTCAAGCTTTTTCGTTATTCATTTAAATGGTTGTGTCACAATTGCCAAGTCTAAAGGACATTTTAAGTCGCCATGAAGTCGCAGAACACGCCCATGCTACATTTAGAGCATGTTAAGATAAAGGTGTAAAAGTACTATGAAGTTTGATTGATTTTGACGTTCTGGGTTCTGGTTATTGATTACTGAGTGTGGTTACGATTTACCGTTAAGTCGGGTCGGCTTAAGTTCTGATTTGCTGAGTAATGAAAATGTGTGCAAATGGTTGGGTAACGATGGAAATTAGGTGTTAAAGTATTGGTGAATTATAACTGGAAATTAAGCGGATACAGGTTCTTTTACGCTTTGACTTTTTCAGAATTTAATGCAGGTTTCTAATTACGTACATATATTTATATACGTCTACCATACACATAACACAGATTTTTCACAACTAAGGTTCATCTCCAAAATTGTTTCAATTACTTTGTCTCGTCAATTCCGTCTTGGTTTTTCGTTCTCTTTTCTTGTGGTATGGATATTAGTACCTTGAGAACTTTTACAGCTGCAGTACTAAAATAATTTTTTTTTCAATATCTACAGATCTTAAGACATGACGTAAAGAAATGAAAGCGCTGTGTAACTGGATTCTAAAATTTTTAAAATCACGGAGTTTTTGACATCATGATCTAATACCACAACAGGATAGAAAGTGGTCTTAAATAATGTTATCACTGATTTAAATGTCGTAAGTGCCTTAGTGAATATATGTTTCCTTTTCAACATGTGTTCCAAACCAAAGCTCACTTTCAACTTCAAAAACGCATTACAATTTTTAAAACATTTGATATCAAAATTTTAAAACTATAGTATTGATATCAAATTTCTAAATTTAATCAACGGTATATTTTTTGCGGTTTTTAAAAACTGTAAAAATATTTAAAACCTCAAAACAAATCCTCCCACCTGCGACCATTTTTGTAAATCTTGATCAACCTTGTTGACAACGTTTCGCGCATTTTAAGAAAGCGGTTAAGGTACTCTAGTAGCAAATCTTTACGTAATCAAATCCCACACTACTCGCTGCTATATTCGTTAGTACTTAACAGCTCGCAGTTAGCTTTATCTGAACTATCAAGTCCATTGTCTCAGCCTCAACCACCAAACGCTCTCCCACCGGAAAAATCTCTTCCTTCGCAAACGCGAAAAACAAATCCATTTCTCTCCCAGCCTTGAACCCACACTATCCGAACCCAGCACACCACCATATGTTCTCGTTACATCCTACAAGCAATTAAATCACCACAACACAGAATTCGGTCACCAAAACCAGGTCCATCGAGCAGACGTTCGCTCAGAGGCATCTCCAAGTAGGTTGCGCCTAACGGAACCGCCGCGGCTCAAAAGGGACTTAACCTTTTGTTCCCAAGTCATCGCTCTCAAACAAAGAACACTCACTTTGAGCCCATTGCGCGTCTCCTCGTCCAGAACGCCCTTCTGCTCCTCAACTTTGGGCTTCTCGCTCACTTTCAGCTTGCTCGCCGGCTGCTGGGGCTTCCTGTAGCGGAATTTGTTGATCATTTTCGCTTTAACCACTTCATACCACCTTTCACTCTAGCGATCGGATACCGACTGAACTTTCGATAGAGCGCGGCGCGGACTCGAACTGTGGCTTCGCAAATGCGACAGGTAAGCCGCGGCGATGCTTGGGACAGGTAAGTATCGAAAGGTGGAAAAGTCGCCGGAAATGGGCTTTTATGGGATGCAAGTGCTTAGATGGGCGCCTTATTGGCGTTCGTCTCACGTGGCCGAAACGCAGACTTCGCAGAAATGAAACAATGAAAAGCGAAAAAAAGGAGCCGAAGGAAGAGCCTGTGGGACGCTCAAGCCAGTCAGTCAGTTTCAGATTGCATTGTGGCGTCTATGTAGTTTTCGAAACAAGCAAATATTGAATAGTTGGCGCCTTATTGCATTTCGCGACGAAATGGCGACTTCACAAAACTGGAACAACGTACAGGTAAAATAAGGGGTCCGGAGGTGCACCGTGCGGAACGCCTAATATTGACAGTCCAATTCAATATAGTTTTAAAATCGACACCGACAGTCTAAAAGTTAACGCTAGGTGGGTATAAAATTATGTACATTGAAAAATAGCTGAAAATGGGGCTTAAGGAGATGAAATACTTAGTTTGGTGCCTTATTGGTATTCGTCTCACGTGCAATGACCGAAAAAACATTTTCAAAGAAATTGAACAATGTACAGGTAAAATAAGGGATCCAGCGAGGACACTGGCGAGACGCCAGATATTGACAATGAAGCAACTTTTACAACTGATGTTTTTAGTTTTTGCAATAGGACTCATTCTATAAAATTTCCATCTGTAACTTTTTGAAAATTTAGTGTTTCTTATACAAATCCATTTTCCTAAAATGTAATTCATTCTGTACAAAGTGAGTTTAATGATTTAAAAGCTATAACAGCATTCTTGAGCAATGACAAGGATTTGGACTTTTTTACTTATAATGGGTTAACACTCATGATGCTTAAATAAGATTTATAACCCTGTTACGTGATGCATATTCTTTTATTCGCGGAAGAAGCAGGTATAAATCCCCTAGATGGGTCAGTTATGTTATTCAAAAAAAAAAAAAAAAAATGCGAACATGCTTGCGCCAACATTTTTTCTACCTTGGAATGTAATAACGAGTGTCTTTTAAGAAAAAAAATATATATACAGGGTGAGTCACTAAGTGCGCATTCCTCGGTATCTCATTGTTTATTGAAAATAGAAAAACTCACAGAACAACGTTGTGTCTACAGTTCTTCGAGGATTATGGTCTTAAATTATTTTTAACTATAGAGATTGTTCTGTTTTTTACTCTATATATTTTTACATAGTTCGATTGTCCTCTTCGTCGGCTTTACAAACAGAGTCTATTTTTGAATTCCGATGCGACGTTGCCACAATTTGCGTGAAATTTTTTAGTAGTGGAAGTAATGGAAAAAATCGTAGTAGGGTTATTTTTAGATTCTAAGTATATGTTACAATATTTTATGCAGCGATAAATAAAGGTACAGCCGTTGTTGTGGTATAAATTAAACTAAATTGTCGTATACAAAGTATTTATATATTATTTTTATTTAGTTTTCTCAAATAAAACACCCTATATTTTATTACCCCATCTTATTCTATTTTTTGTTCTCTTTCTATTTTGTTACGCATTTGGTGTAATAAAATACAGAGTGTTCTATTGATGCCACAACAAAGTGTTTACCTTTATTTATCCTTCCACAAGATATTGTAATACAGATTTCAAAAAAAGAACCCTTTCATCCCTAAAAAAATTCAAAAAAATGGAATAATGGCAACACCGCATCGGAATTTCACAAAAAAAGGCTGTGGTTATAAATTCTCCGAAAAAACTTATAAAAATATGTAAAAATATATGGAATGTTTCACATAAAAAACTATGTTGTGTGTATTTTTCTAGGCTACAATTTCTGAGAAAAGTCAAAATCCCCTTTTTTGCGTCAGTTTTAAAAATCTCTATGTATCTATTAAGTGCGATTTATAAACTTGCTGTTGACGTTGAAGTTCCCATTGCAGTTGCTGTTCCCGTTGACGTTGCCAAGTTGCCGTTGACAGTAACTTTGATGTTCAACTTTTGCCGTATTTAAAGGGGTTGTAGAAAAAAGTAGAGGATTTAAGTTAATTACTACAAAAATGTACCATTTTAGATATGTTTTAAGTTTCTTATTGTCAAAATAAGTCTACACATATGAAAATAAAAAGGAAAAATGGAAGCCCGCCCACCCGCCCCATTTTTATTTTGATAATTTTTTTTTATTCGTCGTGAGCCGAGGGGCGGAGCTTAATTGGGATGGGGTGGGTGGGTGGGGATTCTATTTTTTTTTTCTTAATTGGTACCTGTAGTACCTATTCTTTGAACAAGACGATACTCAAAAACATGTTTTTAATTTCTTGTAAAGAAATACATATTTTGCAGTTGAGTTCTGTCACCTTGCTTCACGGTGAATAAAAAAAATCATAAGAACTGAGATAGGGCGGGTGGGCGGGCTTCCATTTTGCCTTTTTATTTTAATATTTGTAGACTTCTTTCCACAACATGAAACTTAAAACATGCTTAAAATGGAAAATTTCTTTAAGAAACTATCGATTTTGCAATTAGGCTCCACCCCATAATTATAAAATCCGTATTTCCTTGCAAAAACATTTTAACCATGTCATAAGTTTGAAATGAAAAGATGGCTATGTATATTAAGGAAATAAATAATAGTTTAAAAAACTAAAAAAACACGCTTTTATTGCTAATCGAACTAAAAACTAGAAAATAATTTTTAATGACAGAGTTTAATATTACAGTAGTAGAAGATCAAACAATCAATCATAATAAATCACCTCAAATTAAAATTATAATAAAATTTAAGTTATTAACAGAATAATTCAATTCAGAGTAAAAAGCGTGGGGTGCTTGATATTTTAAATATTACAATCATTCTATTGGCAACTATCTATGAGAGGATAGTTATGAACCGCAGTAAAATGCACCCCACGCTTTTTACTCTGAATTGAATTATTCTGTTAATAACTTAAATTTTATTATAATTTTAATTTGAGGTGATTTATTATGATTGATTGTTTGATCTTCTACTACTGTAATATTAAACTCTGTCATTAAAAATTATTTTCTAGTTTTTAGTTCGATTAGCAATAAAAGCGTGTTTTTTTAGTTTTTTAAACTATTATTTATTTTTCATTTTTTAGTCTGCGACAAATTCATAAATTGGGGAATTAATTACTTATTTAGATTTTTCTAGAAAGAACCACTCAGTGGTCTCCGTAGGATCGAGGATCCTGGCGGTCCTAATAAGGATAATGGGAAACTGTTATCAAATTATTGCATTGTCATCGATCCTTGAGACGTGTGCAAAGTTTCAAGATGATCAGACTTTTAGAAACCGATGAAAATTAAGCTCAAAGATTCCGTTACATACATACAACCCAAGCTAATAAAAGCGTGATAAAAAGGCCAAATATAAGCCCCGCCCACCTGCCCTATCTCAATTTTGATGATTCTTTTTTATTCGTCGTAAGCTGAGGGGCGGAGCTTAATTGCAAAATCCATATTTCTTTATAAAAATTTTCCATTTTAAATGAGTTTTAAGTTTCTAAGAATAAAAAAAATTATCACATTTGAGATGGGGTGAGTGGGTGGGTGGGGATTCTATATCCTGCCTTTTTTTCTTAATAGGTACATGTAGTACTTATTTTTGAACAAGACGATACTCAAAAACATGTTTTTAATTTTTTGTAAAGAAATACATATTTTGCAGTTTTGAATTCTGTCCCCTTGGTTCACGACGAATAAAAAAAAATCGTCAGAACTGAGATAGGGCGGGTGGGCGGGCTTCCATTTTGCCCTTTTATTTTAATATTTGTAGACTTCTTTGCACAACATGAAACTTAAAATATGCTTAAAATTGAAAATTTCTTTAAGGAACTATCGATTTTGCAATTAGGCTCCACCCCATAATTGCGAAATCCATATTTCCTTGTAAAAAACATTTTAACCATGTTATAAGTTTGAAATGAAAAGATGGCTATGTATATTAAGGACAAAAAGGCCAAATATAAGCCCTGCCCACCCGCCCTATTTCAATTCTGATGATTCTTTTTTATTCGTCGTAAGCCGAGGGGCGGAGCTTAATTGCAAAATCCATATTTCTTTATAACAATTTACCATTTTAAACGTGTTTTAAATTTCTAAGAATAAAAAAAATCATCGCAATTGGGATGGGGTGGGTGGGCGGGGATTCTAAATTTTTTTTCTTAATGGGTATACACAGTATTCTTTGAAAAACACGATTCTCAAAAACATGTTTTTAATTTCTTATAAAGAAATAAGTATTTTGCAGTGAAGCTCTGCCCCCTTGATTCACGGCGAAATAAAAAAAATCATCAGAATTTTTTAGGGCGGGTGGGCGGGCCTCCATTTTGCCTTTTTATTTTAATATGTGTAGACTTCTTTCACAACAAGAAACTGAAAACATGCTTAAAATGGAACATTTGTATAAGGAAATATCGATTTTGCAATTAGGCTCCGCCTCATAATTGCAAAATTCATTTTTCCTAGCAAAAATGTACCATTTTAACGATGTTTTAAGTTTCTTGTTGTGAAAAGATGACTATGTATATAAAAAAAGGCAAAATATGAGTCCCGCCCACCCGCCCTATCTCAATTCTGAAGATTTTTTTTATTCGGCTTGAGTCGATGGGAGGAGCTTAATTGTAAAATCCATATTTCTTTATGAAAATTTACTATTTTAAACGTGTTTTAAGTTTCTAAGAATAAAAAAAATCATCACAATTGGGATGGGGTGGGTGGGCGGGGATTCTATACTTTTTTTCTTAATAGGTATACACAGTCTTCTTTGAAAAACACGATACTTAAAAACATGTTTTTAATTTCTTGTAAAGAAATAAGTATTTTGCAATTGAACTTAGCCCCTCTGGTTCAAGACGAATAAAGAAAATCATCACAATTGAGATAGGGTGGGTGGGCGGGCTTCCATTTTGACTTTTTATTTTAATATGTGTAGACTTCTTAGACTTCTTTCACAACAAGAAACTGAAAACATGCTTAACGTGGAAAATTTGTATAAGGAACTATCGATTTTGGAATTAGGCTCTGCCCCATAATTGCAAAATCCATTTTTCCTAGCAAAAATTTTAACCATGTTTTAAGTTTCTTGCCGTGAAAAGACGGTTATGTATATAAAAACAGGCAAAATATAAGCCCCGCCCACCCACCCTATCTCAAATGTGATGATTTTTTTTATTCGTCGTGAGCCAAAAGGGCGGATGATATAAACGACGCTGCGTATTTATCTTACAACGGCAACGTCAACGGCGGACAGCAGCGTCAGCGGCAAGCTAATAAATCGACCTTTATAGTTTGACTACCTAGAAATATTCAAAATCTTCAAACATATAGTTATAGTTCCGTTGAAAATATAGTGCGTTTGTGGCTTAAATGCAACTAAATTTGTGAAAATTTTGACGAGTTCGTGACAATGGTCGCAATAAATTCGCTTGCCTGGCCAAGACCTTCTCCTATTGTAACAGTCACAAATAAAATTATTTCAATGCTGCACATGGCCTACCGGATGTCTATGTAGGTTACGTACCATTGCTTGTATTTATTGAATTTTGTGAGGAATCGGTTGTAAAATTGAAGTAAAACTGTAAAATCTTATAAACTGGAAATTTGTTTTCCAAATATTTTTTTAAATAAGGTTAACAAAAGCCAAAATAATGACTACAAAAAACACAACAGTATACTACAAATGCAAAAAAGGATCTCATGAAGCAACTTGCGGGTCTCCACCACCACTTAATTATATAGTTTATACCCTCCAAATTTTAAATATATAAAATATTTCAAGCTTCTCTTCAAGTACAGATTTTCTTTTTCAGAAAATTTCAAATGTTCTTTAACCTCCGATATCCACTAAAGTTTGTCTGGGTGTATTGAAATTTGTGTAATTACACACGTATGTACCTATAATAGAGGATCCAGAGCGGAGCTTTGCGGATTTGTTTTCTCAGTTTTTCAAAATGCTTTTCTAAAATTTGATGACGTAAAAACAGTTACAAATTCAAAAGCTCCGTTGTCTCGAACTTTTTGAGAATCTTGTACTGGATACCAAGTATTATTATTCAGTTGCAAAAATTTTTCTGTTTTGAAACAGAACTTTACACTGCTGACCGTAAAATAACGTATTGAGGACTGAGGTAGAATGGCGACACAATGAAATAAAATTTACTCTTTCAGATTTGTAATGGATGGTAATGAGCTTTGACCTACTACAAAATACGAGTGTAAAAATCACCCAAAATAAAGTTAAGTAGGTATTATTCTTAAGCCTTCCCAACTTGTACAGTTCGCAAGGCTTAGAAGACCTTCAAATTATTTAGATTTACATTACCCACACAAGACTTATTATCTAAAATCTGTTCTAGATTTTCTTAAATCTGGAAATTCAGTTTCTGTTTGTTCAGGTTAAGGTATTCAAGAAGCCAAAAACGATAATTTGGAACTGATCCCACACATCATTGCTAATTAATTTAATTTCGACATAGAACTTTTCGATTGACAACTTTTCGGTGTCGTCCATATTCGGTACCAAGAAAAACTTTCCAACTTTGTAAATTATGGTAGCTGTAAAGGTGAGTAATAACCTGGCGCCTGGCTTAAGTACCTCGACGGGGTTCTTCAAACTAATAGGTTTAGTCTGGTTTAGCCATTTTCAGGCGAGTTAATTGCAGTTCCTCGAATGCTTTTCAAACATTTGAACAATCAAAACAAAGAGTTTGGTGAAAATTTCGCAAATGACACTTTCCATTTCCAACCCGACTTCTTTCAGCGTATTCCTCGAATTACCAACCCAAGCATTTCTTAATACTCTTACTCAACCTCCAAGGTCCTACAAAGAAACCACTCAACATAAACAAAGCAAACAGACGTTCAAACAGCAAAAAGAGAAAAACCAGTATCGAATCGTTGAATCCTCTTCACGATTATACGACGTAACTTTTACAATACATCCTATTAACGTGAAGACAGTCACGATTTCATGCCCTTGACCAACGAAGTCGTAAAGATGAGCAGCGACTCTTCTCTTGCATTTAAATGTTAATCGAAAACTTTGCTCGACAAATTTGGTGACTGACGCAGATAAATAAAACCCACTCAACTGCAAACGAGTAGGCCGAATGGGCGACATTTGTGCCCACATGGGCACATAACGGATCGCCGTGGTGAGAAAAGTGCACTGATGGTGGTAATTAATTATGACATCTTTTCATTTACAACGTAAAAACAAAATAAACAAATTAATAATTAAGAAAACAATCTCCCGCCAATCGCATTGCGTCATCTACACGAATTCCACAATCAACTATTTGTCACACCTTCAATTTTTATGTAATATCCCAACAAACTTTATATTCACGTTGTCTATTCGGACCTTTAAATGAATCGACCATGTCACTACTCGTCGTCATCACCATCCGACCGTTAGAAAAGCACATTGGTCGACTGTAACGAACACTGATTCGTATTCCTCCTCGAGCAATTCTCTCGACCAATCAGGATCGAGGTCAACCGGTCAGAGCCGACTGCGACCCAAGCGTGATGAAGAAGTAGATGGCGTTTGTTGTTGGAGGGAAAGTCGACGCGGTGTTGCCACATGTTGTATTAACTTACCTTAAGAGCGCAGAAGATGCAGGAGTCTGCCATGCAAGCGTGCCCGGAAAGGTCCCGGAAACTGCGCCGGAAGATGTCCAGATGCCATAACACCTGCAAAAGGGCACGTGTCAGACACATGTTGCATGAGACGAGAATAAATAGAAGCAACAAGTGGTGGATTGTTTGAGGTTTGGGGGTTGCGGTTGGGAGGGGAGAAAGGGGTTCTAAATGGAGAAGTCGAAAAATCGTTTGTTTACAGTAGGCCATAGACCTAGGAACATGATGATTTCATTTTTTTTGTATCGATATAGTACAACAATTATCATCATAACTCTAATTAGGGTTCCAACACAAAGTGAAAAGTCGTTTGCGGTTAGGTATAGTAGACAGCGAAGAGACAACGGAACTGAACATTTTGATGAGATAAGATCTTAATGACTTATCGAAATTTATTAGTACGTTATTATTCATTATAAAGCGATTAAATAATGAATATGACAACGATATAACCATTCGGATTGCTTCATTTAAGAAAACACAAATTATATAGTTTCCGGACAAATATTTTTGAAAATGTATCCTGTCAAACACGGATTTCCTCAATAATCACAAAGTCTGGAACTGCCAATATATTTAAGATCATCTTGAAGCTTGAAATTCAAGAATGTGGATTTCTGCGAAATTACATAATTCACCTTCTCGGAACCTCACCGAATTCACATTTGCGGTTTCCAGTGTTCATATAATCGACTAAATTCTAAAAACGTGTGTCTTTTCCCACGTATTAAGGTTTCACGTTGTTTACGCACAGTAATGAACTTGGTAGTTGTTGAAATCGTTCTAACTTATTTACAATTACTACCAGATTTTTCGTGTTTTTTTTTTCTGTACAGTTTAATGAGGGAGACTTTCTGCATAGAGGAAATGTATTAATGAGTGTTGAGTGCTCATGTGCGTAACAATTCCTGAAGTGTGGTGTTCTTAGTGATTAGTTACGCTGTAGAGTAACTACAGTTAGGAGTAAGTACTTATTATATGTTGCGTGTGTTGACATTTCGAAGTAAATTAACAGGGTTTGGATGGCTGGCATGAGGCACAGGAATCGCTGTAATTTTTAGTTCCCGAGTGTATGCTATTTTTTTTTGTACGTAGAGTTTTCTTTCAAAAACAGGAAAGTTAAACATGTTTTCAATTTCTTGTTGGATCACATGACCCCATTTCTTCCAATAGAATTTATTCATGCCCTTAGTTACATGTCTATCACAGCGATAATAATTTTATTACCTTATTGTGGTCTGTTGCTACCTAAATTTAAAAACTGTCAAATTTGACAAATTTTAGGATTTTAAAAAACTGTTTGTCTATTATGGTTTGCCAACGTTGGAGGCAAACTCAAAATGACGAAATCAATTCTATTATCAAAAAGTTTGTTCATTCATTATATTCTCATGTCGAATATAACTCGTGATATGATTAATAATAATCGAAGATATGGCTCGTGAAACCGAAGCACCACGTTCAACTCGTGCTTGAACGTTGAATCTGCAACTCGGTTTCACTCGAAATATTATCGATTATAATCATATCACTTGTTATAGTTATTATAACTGAAAAGAAACCTTCATACATTAAGAAAAAAAACAGACAAAATATATGCCCCGCCCACACACCCCTTCTCAACTGTAATGAATGCTTTATTCATCGTGAGCTGAAGGGCGGAGTTTAGTCTGCAAAAACTTTATTTCTCTACAAGTCATTATCAGATGAAAAATGTTGTTAAAGGGGTAGAATTAAATGTAACATCGATATTTCTAATTTCTATAAGAAATTCTACTCTTTTAAAAATATATTTCATATGATAATTTCTTGTAGAGAAATGAGGATTTTACAACTAAACTCCGCCCTTCAGCTCACGATGAATAAAACATTCATCACAATTGAGAACGGCCGGGTGGGTGGGGCTTAATTTTTGTTTTTTTTTCATATATAATTTTCTTTCAGAAACAGGAAAGTTAAACATGTTTACAGTTTCTTGTTTGAAAAAGAATACTTCGTATATTAAGAAAAAATGGACAAAATATAAGCCCCGCCCACCCACCCCTTCTCAATTCTGATGAATGTTTTATTCATCATGAGCTGAAGGGCAGAGTTTAGTTTGCAAAAACTTAATTTCTCTACAAGTCATTATCAGATGAAATATGTTGTTAAAGAGGTAGAATTAAATGTAACATCGATATTTCTAATTTCTATAAGAAATTCTACCCTTTTAAAAAAATATTTCATATGATAATTTCTTGTAGAGAAATGAGGATTTTACAACTAAACTCCGCCCTTCAGCTCACGATGAATAAAACATTCATCAGAATTGAGAACGGGGCCGGTGGGTGGGGCTTAATTTTTGTTTTTTTTTTTCATATATAGTTTTCTTTCAGAAACAGGAACGTTAAACATGTTTTCAGTTTTTTGTTTGAAAAAAAAAATGCTTTGTATATTAAGAAAAAGTGGACAAAATATAAGCCCCGCCCACCCACCCCTTCTCAATTGTGACGAATGTTTTATTCATCATGAGCTGAAGGGCGGAGTTTAGTTTTCCAAATCCCCATTTCTCTACAAGAAATTGCCATATAAAATATGTTTTTCAAAGGGTGGAGTTTTTTTATAGAAATTAGAAATATTGATGTTACAATTAAACTCCGCCCTTCGGTCTGATTAGGAATGAAAAACTCATCACAACTGAGATCTGGGCGGGTGGGTGGGGCTTAATTTTTGTTCTTTTTTTATATACAGAGCTTTCTTTTAAAAACAGGAAATTTAAACATTGTTTCAGTTTCTTGTTCGGAAAAAAATACTTCGTATATTAAGAAAACATGGACAAAATATAAGCCCCGCCCATCCACCCCTTCTCAATTGTGATGAATGTTTTATTCATCAGGAGCTGAAGGGCGGAGTTTAGTTTGCAAAATGCCCATTTTTCTACAAGAAATTGCCATATGAAATATGTTTTTAAAAGGGTAGAATTTTTTATAGAAACTAGAAATATTGATGTTACACTTAATTAAACTCCGCTCTTCGGTCTGATTAGGAATGAAAAACTCATCACAACTGAGATCTGGGCGGGTGGGTGGGGCTTAATTTTTGTTCTTTTTTATATATAGAGCTTTCTTTTAAAAACAGGAAAGTTAAACATATTTTCAGTTTCTTGTTCGGAAAAAAATACATGGACAAAATATAAGCCCCGCCCACCCACCCCTTCTCTATTGTAATGAATGCTTTATTCATCATGAGCGGAAGGGCGGAGTTTAGTTTGCCAAATGCCCATTTCTCTACAAGAAATTGCCATATAAAATATGTTTTTAAAAGGGTAGAGATTTTTATAGAAATTCGGAATATTGATGTTACAATTAAACTTCGCCCTTCGGTCTGATTAGCAATGAAAAACTCATCACAACTGAGATCTGGGCGGGTGGGTGGGGCTTAATTTTTGTTCTTTTTTTACATATATGGAGCTTTCTTTCAACAACAGGAAAGTTAAACATGTTTTCAGTTTTTTGTTGGAAAAAAAGACTTCGTATATAAAGAAAAAGCGGACAAAATATGAGCCCCGCCCACCAACCCGTTCTCAATTGTAACGAATGCTTTATTCATCATGAGCTGAAGGGCGGAGTTTAGTTTGCCAAATGCCCATTTCTCTACGAGAAATTGCCAGATAAAATATGTTTTTAAAAGGGTATAGAGTTTTTTATAGAAATTAGAAACATTGATGTTACAATTAAACTCCGCCCATCGGTCTGATTAGGAATGAAAAATTCATCAGAATTGAGATGGGGGCGGGTGGGCGGGGCTTAATTTTTGTTTTGTTTTTTTAATATATAGAATTTTCTTTCAAAAACACGAAAGTTAAACATGTTTTCAGTTTCTTGTTCAGAAAAAATACTTCGTATCTTAAGAAAAAATGGACAAAATATAGGCTCCGCCCATCCACCCCTTCTCAAATGTGATGAATGTTTTATTCATCATGAGCTGAAGGGCGGAGTTTAGTTTGCAAAATGCCCATTTCTCTACAGGAAATTGCCATATGAAATATGTTTTTATAAGGGTAGAATTTTTTATAGAAATTAGAAATATTGATGTTACAATTAATTAAACTCGGCCCTTCAGTCTCATTAAGAATGAAAAATTCATCACAATCGAGATGGGGGTGTTTGGGGGGCGGCTTACTTTTGTTTTTTTTATATACAGTTTTCTTTCAAAAACAGGAAAGTTAAACATGTTTTCAGTTTCTTGTTGAAAAAAAAAACTCCGTATATTAAGAAAAAATGGAGTAAATATAAGCCCCGCCCACCCACCCCTTGTCAATTGTGATGAATGAGCTAAAGGACGGAGTTTAGTTTGCAAAATGCCCATTTCTCTACAAGAGATTGCCATATGAAATATGTTTCTAAAAGGGTAGATTTTTTAGAGAAATATTGATGTTACAATTAAACTCCGCCCTTCAGCCTGATTAGCAATGAAAAATTCATCACAATTGAGATCGAGGCGGGTGGGTGGGACTTAATTTTTGTTAATATATACTTAGATTTTTCTTTCAACAATTTTTGGTCACAAAGAACAGGAGATATTATAATAAAAAAACATAAAGTCAATCTATTATTCAAAAATTTTGGACTGTACTAATAACTATATTGTACTCCCAGTTTAAAGTGGTTTTTATGATAGGTGCATTGTGTCGAAGTTGATGATGGGGACAATGGAGTAAATCCCTACCCATAAATAAGAAAGTGGTCGTTTTCTTGCAGGGTCGTACTTTGTTATTCAACTCATATTGTCCGTCATGGGGTAATAATGAGGTGATAATGTGTATTATCTTGTCATAAAAACCACTTTAAACTGGGAATACAATAAGTCACGTAAAATAACTTGTACTGTCTCGTTTTATCGAAAAACTGAAGAAAAAAAAACTGAAAAAATTGAAAACTCGTGAAACTTTAAATCGAGAAACTGCAAAATCTAAAAATTTAATGAGTTACATATAGGAAAATTAAAGAAAGAAAAAAAACTTGAAAAATTGCAAACCGAAAAAGTGAAAAAATTTAAATCGAAAAATCAAAAAA